CATGATTATGCAAATGTAAAAGACCCCGTGGAGTTGTGGAAAGCTTTAAAAAATAGGTTTGACAACCAGAAAGCAATAACTCTCCCACATGCCCTTGACGAATGGGCAAATTTGAGGTTCCTAGATTTTAACAAGGTAGCACAGTATAATTCTACCATGTTAAGAATCGTGGCTCAGTTGGAATACTGTGGTAAGAAAGTGAGCGAAGACGAAATGCTCAATAAAACCTACCTTACATTCCATAAGGAGCACTATGTTCTTGCAGAACAATATAGGAACTGCAAGTACAAAATGTTTTCCGAGCTGATTGTGGCGCTTATGATAGCAGAGAAGAATAATGAGCTTCTCATCAAAAACCACAATGCTCGGCCTGCAGGAACCAAAGCATTCCCTGAAGTGAATGCAACGGATGTAAAAAATCCGGAGAAAAAAGATGTAAACTATCCCGAGAAAGGGAATCAATCATATCGGGGTCGTGGTGGTCGTTTTAATCGTGGGCGTGGAAGAAATTACAACTCACGTGGAAGGGGGTCGTTTAAATGGGTTCGTCCTCAAAATGATTCAAAAGGGAAGGAACACCAAGAAAATTCCACCCAGAAGAGTGAGAATGTGTGTTATAGATGTGGATCTAAGGGACATTGGGCCCGTACGTGTCGAACTCCCCCACATCTTTGTAAGTTGTACATGAATTCCACGAAAGGAAAAGGGAAAGAAGTCAATTTAGCAGAAAACTTCGAGGATACATCGTATCTCGATTCTCCCTCCTTTGCAAATGATTTGGATTAGACCGCTTTTGCGGTTAACTAAAGAGCTTGTATTGAGACTGCTGAAATAGTCTCTAGTTATGTCATATATATAATATTATGCTTTTGTTATTTTGAAAAATAATGTTGTTTTAACAACAATTTAATGTATAATTATTGTGTGTTTTCCTTTTATGAATAAAATTTACTTTCTTTTTATTGATGTTTATCTTAATCACAGAAATGGATGAAACAATCTCCAAGGAAATGGCTCAAGAAATTTGCATACCAGATAGTGGGACAACACACACTATTCTAAAGGACAAAAGATATTTCTCTAACTTAAAACCGACAAACACGATTGTCAATACAATATCAGGTCCTGTAGACGTGATTGAAGGAACTGGTATGGCCAACTTTATGTTGCCTAATGGAACCAAGTTTTCCATAAAAAATGCCTTGTATTCTCCAAAATCTAAAAGGAATTTGTTGAGTTTCAAAGACATATACCTTCAAGGATATGATACTCAGTCTGCAACTGAGAATGAAAAGAAGTATATGTACATAACTTCTGATAAATCGGGAAAAAGGCTTATATTGGAAAAATTTCCAAAACTTCCTTCAGGATTGCATTATACTCATATAAGTGCAATCGAATCGCATCTAGTGATTAAAAGAAATCCAGAAGATTTCACATTATGGCATGATCGCCTCGGTCATCCAGGCACCTCGATGATGCGAAAAATCATAGAGAGCTCACATGGACACCCATTGAAAATCCAGGAGATATATCATGGGAATAAAAAGACATGTGCCGCATGTTCTCTTGGAAAACTTATCATAAGGCCATCGCCAGCCAAAATTGATAAAGAATCACCAAAATTCCTTGAACGAATTCAAGGAGATATTTGTGGACCAATACATCCACCATGTGGACCATTCCACTATTTCATGGTATTAATTGACGCATCCAGCAGATGGTCACATGTTTGTCTATTATCATCTCGAAATATTGCATTTGCGAGATTTCTAACTCAAATAATCAAACTGAGGGCTCAGTTTTCTGATTACCCTATTAAAAGAGTTAGACTAGACAACGCTGGTGAATTCACATCCCAAGCTTTTAATGATTATTGTATGGTAACGGGAATTGAAGTAGAACATCCTGTAGCTCATGTTCACACACAAAATGGTTTGGCTGAATCTTTAATTAAACGCCTGCAATTAATTGCAAGACCATTGATCATGAGATCAAAACTCCCAACCTCTGTATGGGGACACGCTATTTTGCATGCTGAAGCACTTATCCGAATAAGACCAAGTGCATATCATAAATATTCCCCATTACAACTAGTATTTGGTCGTGAACCAAATATTTCTCATCTAAAGATTTTCGGTTGTGCGGTATATGTGCCTGTAGCACCGCCACAACGTACAAAGATGGGACCCCAACGAAGGTTAGGGATATATGTGGGTTATGATTCTCCATCTATTATAAGGTATTTAGAACCTCGAACTGGTGACCTCTTTACGGCACGCTTTGCTGACTGTCATTTTGATGAAAAAGAGTTCCCAGTTCTAGGGGGAGAAAACAAACAAGTAGGAAAGAATATAAAGTGGAGTGTACCATCTTTGTTACATCTTGATCCTCCTACGAAACAGTCGGAACTGGAAGTTCGACGAATTATGCATTTACAAAGTATAGCAAATCAATTACCTGATGCTTTTGCAGATACTAAAACGATAACCAAATCACATATTCCAGCTGCAAATGTTCCTGCTCGGATTGAAATTCCACAAGAACATGGAAAAGCAGACGATACACGTGAGTCTAGAACACGCCTGAAGCGTGGTAGACCAGTTGGTTCTAAGGATAAAAATCCTAGAAAGCGAAAGGAAGCTGAAAAGCTCGATATTCCCAAAATAGCAGAAAGCATTTTGGAAGAAACGAATCATAAGTCTAATGACAATGATGAGCATCATGAGCCTGAAGGAAATCATGAGATTTCTATCAACTATATCCATAATGGAAAGATCTGGGATCAAAATAAAATGGATGAAGTCGATGACGTTTTCTCATACCTCGTAGCAAAAGAAATAAATGAGGAAAACGAAGATCCAGAACCACAGTCTGTATATGAATGTCAAAAGAGACACGACTGGATAAAATGGAAGGATGCCATCCAAGTCGAACTTGATTCACTTAATAAGCGAAATGTATTCGGACCTATTATACTCACACCTGAAGATGTGAGACCGGTTGGATACAAGTGGGTTTTCGTTAGAAAACGAAATGAGAAAAATGAAATTACGAGATACAAGGCTCGTCTCGTAGCTCAAGGATTTTCTCAAAGACCCGGGATTGATTATGAGGAAACATATTCCCCCGTTATGGATGCAATAACGTTTAGATTCTTGATGAGTCTAGCGGCTGATAAAAATTTAGAAATGCGTCTCATGGATGTTGTTACAGCATATTTGTATGGATCTTTAGATACAGATATCTATATGAGAGTTCCCGACGGGTTTAAGATGCCAGAAGCATTGAAATCTAAACCCAAAGAGTTATGTGCAATAAAGTTACAAAGATCATTATATGGGTTAAAGCAATCTGGGCGAATGTGGTATAATCGTCTCAGTGAACATTTAACGAAAGAAGGATACGTAAACGATCCTATATGCCCATGTGTTTTCATCCAGAAAACAAAATCCGGATTTGTAATAATCGCGGTATATGTTGATGATCTAAATATAATTGGGACTCAAGATGAAATACAGAAAGCAACAAACTATTTAAAAGGGGAATTCGAGATGAAAGATCTCGGACAAACAAAGTTTTGTCTTGGCCTACAAATTGAACATTCCCAAAAGGGTATATTTGTGCACCAATCCACGTATACTAAAAGAGTGCTAAAACGATTCAACATGGATAAGGCAACTCCTCTGAGTACTCCTATGGTCGTTAGATCACTTAACGTTGAAAGTGATCCATTTCGACCGCATGAGGAGAATGAAGAGATACTCGGTCCTGAAGTACCGTATCTAAGTGCAATTGGAGCCCTTATGTATCTTGCAAATTGCACTCGACCTGATATATCATTTTCAGTCAATCTTTTGGCTAGATTTAGTTCATCCCCTACACGAAGACATTGGAACGGAATTAAACATGTCTTTCGTTATCTTCAAGGGACTATTGATTTAGGGTTATTTTATCCTAAAAATATAAATGGTCAAATGATTGGTTTTGCAGATGCAGGATATTTATCAGATCCACACAAAGCTCGATCCCAAACAGGATACGTATTCACGATTGGAGGTACTGCTATATCATGGCGTTCTCAGAAGCAGACACTTGTAGCTACTTCTTCAAATCATGCTGAGATCATCGCACTCCATGAAGCGAGTAGAGAATGCGTGTGGCTAAGATCAATAAGTCGACATATTCAAACCAGTAGTGGAATTAGTCTGAATACAGAGCCAACTATCTTGTATGAAGACAATGCTGCATGTGTTGCTCAGACAAAGGAAGGATATATCAAAAGCGATAGAACCAAACATATCCCTCCAAAGTTCTTTTCATACACCCAAGAACTCGTGAAGAATAAAGACATTGAAGTAAAATATGTCCGATCATCCGAGAATTCTGCGGATCTCTTCACGAAATCATTACCCACCTCTATATTCAGGAAACATGTTCATAACATTGGAATGCGTCGTCAACAAGACTGTAAGTTATGATCCTGATCATTCGAGGGGGAGCTTGCGCGGTTGCACTCTTTTTACCTACTATGGTTTTTCCCACCGGGTTTTCCTAGAAAGGTTTTTAACGAGGCAACATAAAATATTACGCAAGAGACATAGTGACACTGGTCTCCAAGGGGGAGTGTTGTAAAAGTCAAGGAAAGCTGCAACATCAAATACACATGCGTAAACGATCGTAAAATAATATTTTGTGTGGAGCCCACCGTCACTATGCATGCATAGTAACTTACTTTTTCCTGCCTATATAAACGAACGAATTCGTTCGTTGTAAATCACATTTCATACTTCAACAATAAGAAGTTATAAGAACTCTCTCTCCTCCTCTCATCTCTTTATTTTCAGTATCCCGATCCTTCTGCGGGTATAATTCTTTCTCCATTATTTATATTTATATACACCATATAATAAAGTAATTATTATAACAATAGCAATATAATTTTGTAATTTCCTCAGAATTATGGAGGTATTTTCAATAGCTGAGCTCAGATATTGAGGTAAAAAGGAGTGGACATCCGAAGAAAAAACCTAAAACCGGATCTTGCTCTCGAGGATGATGGGATTACTCTCAAACCAAATCTCCAGAGAGACATTGAAGCCTGGAGATCACATCTACTCATGGCGTAACGCTTATACCTACTCTCACCACGGTACCACCATCTCTTTCTCTATCTCTAACTATGTAGATCCATTAACTTCTGGGTTTATCAAAGATTCCAAATTTGGGTTTGCAATTCGCAGGAATCTATGTAGGCGATGAGAAGGTGATACATTTCACTCGTGGAGGTGATCTGGAAACCAGAACCGGGACTTTCCTGGACAAGTTCATCGCTAGTTGTGTTCCGAATCATGGAGGAGACAACAACCCGTGTCCCAAGTGTGGAGATCAATCCAAACTCCACGGTGTAATCTCTTCTTGCCTTGATTGCTTTCTCGCCGGAGGAAACCTCTATCTCTTCGAGTACGGTGTCTCTCCAGCTTTCTTTGTCGCAAAACAACGAGGAGGTACTTGCACAACAGCACCTTCAGATCCTCCTGAAGAAGTTATTTTCCGTGCGAAATTTCTCTTACTACGAAATGGGTTTGGTGCTTACCATCTGTTTGAGAACAATTGTGAAGATTTTGCCATCTATTGCAAAACTAGTTTGGTTGTCATGTCAAAGATCAAGTTGGGAAGAAGTGGTCAAGCCAATTCGGCGTCTATAGCAAGGGATGCTGTTTCTTCGACATTGGGACTTCTTGGGGTGGTGAACGCTAGTGGTAGAGCAGCTTCGGTGTTTTCTTCAACAGTTCGATATGTAGTTCCCAGTTTTGGTGCTGCTTTTGGTGGTCTGGTGTTGGTTGGGCAGTATGGTAAGTATTGTATGGATCGTCTGAATTCCGACATTGGTATGAGATACGATGTTACTAAGTTGACTGTGCAAGGGCTCGTTTCCATTATTGAACTCATGGAAGGCAGATCGGAGGACAACAAGTCAATTGTAGATCAGATTGAAGGCAGGGACTTACCACCGACCATTACTCACGTTCATGAGAAGTTGATCAATCATGAAGCTAAGCTCTTGTCTCCCACTATGCACTCTGCGCTTCCAGTCACGGCCAATGTCGCAACGCAACGCCACAACAACAATTCAAATCGCCATCACAATAACAACAACAGGAATCGCTACAACAACAACAGCAATTCGTCTTCAAACTGGCAGCCATCATACAACAAAACAGAGCAGAGAGGTCCACGTCCTTATCTCGGGCGCTGTCAGATCTGCAGCGTACATGGTCACTCTGCGAGGAGATGTCCGCAACTTCAGGGTCGTGTTACTCACGTTCATGAGAAGTTGATCAATCATGAAGCTAAGCTCTTGTCTCCCACTTTGCACTCTGCACTTCCAGTCACGGCCAATGTCGCAACGCAACGCCACAACAACAATTCAAATCGCCATCACAACAACAACAACAACAACAGGAATCGCTACAACAACAACAGCAATTCGTCTTCAAACTGGCAGCCATCATACAACAAAACAGAGCAGAGAGGTCCACGTCCTTATCTCGGGCGCTGTCAGATCTGCAGCGTACATGGTCACTCTGCAAGGAGATGTTCGCAACTTCAGGGTCGTGTTACTCACGTTCATGAGAAGTTGATCAATCATGAAGCTAAGCTCTTGTCTCCCACTATGCACTCTGCGCTTCCAGTCACGGCCAATGTCGCAACGCAACGTAACAACAACAATTCAAATCGCCATCACAACAACAACAACAACAACAACAGGAATCGTTACAACAACAACAGCAATTCGTCTTCTGTTGTTGATCAACTAATCAACTAAAACATATGAATTTTCTTTAGCTCATGTGGAAGGAGTGCCCTATATTAAGCCCCATACAATTTTCTTCCCTATATCCGCCACTGTTCATGGCTATATTTCTCTAGTTGCAATCTATATATATGTTCGTGTGAGCAAAATCCATTTAGTTTAGAAACTTTCACAAGGAACTTCATGGGTTTACACATCGAATCTCCGGACCGAATAACACAAGGTATGCGCATTCATATTATACCGATAATGTTTTAACTTATACAAGTTGAATTAATATAAAGTATATGTTTGTCTTTGTTGGTTTATTTGAAGAAGAAGAAGCTAATATTGGAGTTGAGAATCAACCAAGAGCAACAACTTCAATAGCTCTTGATCGGTCACAAAATCTTAAGACAAGAAACTGGTGGATTTGTATCTTTGTCTGCTCTGGTTTGGTCGTAACAGGACGTGTTTTATCAACACTTCTTCTAAACTTCTATTTCATCCAAACAGGAAGAGATACTTGTGACGATCCAAAACAATTTAAAGGCACATGGCTTCAATCATTTGTCCAAAACGCTGCGTTTCCATCTATAGCCTTCATTTTCCTCTTATGGCGTTCTTCATTCTCCACTCATAGAGAAACTCAATCTTCGTCTTCTTTTTTTGGCAAACTCTTTATTCTTTACCTCTCTCTCGGTTTCCTCTCTGCGGCTTATAGCCAACTCTATGCAATTGGGAGAACTCATTGTGTGTTCTTCTTTTGGATCTTCACAACACAACTGATCTTCACTTCCATCTTTACAGCAATTATCAACAAACACAAATTCAACCGTTGGATCATATTATCCATCGTCCTTTCTGGAGTTGCCACGGGCATTACATCTTCGGATGACGCCTATTATCCCTGCGAAAGTGAAGGCTGGAAAATGAGCTACGGTGCTTGGTGTGCCTTCTTTGGCACGGTAGCCTTCTCTTTATCTCTATGTATCATGCAATTGGGGTTCCAAAAGGTCATACCTAACACAGAGAGTAGAGTTTCCACGGTAATGTTGATGCAAACCAATGCTTCTATGATTGCAACATTGATATGTTTGGTTGGATTATTCATAAGCAGTGAATACAAAGATATAAAAGAAGATTTTGAGACATTTAAGAAGGGGAAGCCACTTTACGTTTTGAGTCTCATCGGATTATCACTTGCATGGCATGTAATGTCTTTAGGACTTGTGGGTCTTGTGTGTTTGGCTTCTTCTATTTTCTCTAATGTTGTCAACTTCTCCGCCACACCTTTAGCGAACATTTTTGTTGTTTTGGCGTTTCGGTTTATGGATGACGACATTGAATGGTTTAAGGGAGGAGCTCTGTTAGCTGGGATCCTTGGGTTTGCATCTTATGTATATTCCTTGTACAAGGCTACTACGAAACAGGAAATAGCAAGCCAAACTGAATTAGTAAGAGTATGATTGATACTATGTATATTGTGATGCTATTAATTTAGTGTTTGTCCATTTCACTGATGTTGAGATCAAAGTTTGAGTACTATGTTTGTTAAAGAGTTGGCAGATGTGCAAGAAAAAAAAACTAGTTTAGTATAAATTTGTTAAAAATCACATATTTTCATACAAGAGTCTACCAATAGTCTCCACAAGAGCAGCTACCATATCTAAAATGATGAAACCTCTTGTTATCTCTTACAATGATTTCTCTATCTTCAATACTCGATAATATCTTTATGAAGTTGTGGCAATCTCCGCATATCCTCAGATTCTTCATCACCCTTATCGTTGTCCCTGGAGGCGTGTTTATAAGCCCGAAAGCAATAGCTAATCGTTCACTGTGATGCATCAATGCTTTCTCTTTAGCTTCTTCATCAATATCATGAAGAACGTACTTCGTCTCTGGTACATAGCCTGCGTCTCTCACTTCTTTTGCTAGAGACTTCAGCTTTACGTAGGCCTTGCTTCTATCTACAATAGCTTTCTTCTCACCTAAAATCTTCGGCTTATCTCCTCTAATCTTTGTTGAATGACTAGAAGGTGAGATATGTCGTAAAGTAGTATCTTTTCGTACCGTGTTCCTTACTACTGAGCCTGAAAGTTCTTTTGCTGTTACTCTGCCACCGCTCCAAGTATCTAAATTTCTTTCAGGCAGTTTATTAAATACTTTGTCAGCAGTTTCCTTGACTTGAGTCTCAACTCCATCAGAGCTTATCCTTCTCTCGGGTTCCATACAGCTTTCAACTTGACCCTCACCGGCAATTCCTTTTGCTCTCGAGATGACTCGTTGAAAAGATGAAGTTTCTCTCTCAAAGAAGATTGCCTTGGGGACAGGGAAGGAGCAAAAACTCATGGAGAAAGCAGTTTCCAGTGCCATCCTTTTCTCGTCAATTCGACAAGCAGATAAGCTTTCTTTGGAGGGGAATTTATTGTGTGGAGAGAGAAATAGAGATACCAATCTCACACACAAATATCAACCAGAAGCAGACAACTTCACAAACAGCCAATAAAACCTCTGTTTACCTATTAGCACTGGTCCACAAAAAGGTTCCTGCATAACCACGTAAATCACTTGTTAGCTGAGTAACTAGTAATTGGAGAAGGATTAAAACTTTTTGATCAAGAACCACTAATGCCAATCAAAAACATTGAACGAGAATGCAAGGATTTTGTTGTACCATTGACACAAATCCGTTAGCATTCCAGTTTGAATAATGTTTGCTTTTCGATTTGAAGCTGGAAAACTTCAGAGAATTCCTTTAATAACGACTCATGAGCTATATCTAACAACTGCAAATCGTCGAGCTTATCATAACACACGTCCCGAATTACATGTTCTCCATCCTCAATCAAACCCTTTACACTTCCAACCCCACGGTTTCTTATCCCACATGGAACTATCAAGTTAAAAGGTGTTAAATCTGTTGTAACGTTAAGAGCTAGACCATGATATGTCATCCATTTCGACACACGAATACCTAACGCCGCCACTTTTTTGTTGCCTATATAATTATACGTATTAGTTCACTGGCACTATCAGATCAAACCACAGGAAGAAGTAAAACAAAAATGGAGATTGTGGACATACCGACCCAAACTCCAGTTAAACCGTCAAGACGAGTAGCGTTGATGGAGAAAGCCGAAGAAAGAACACGAATGACTACCTGCTCAAGCTTCCTTAAGTACCAATGAAGATCCATCTTATGATTCCGGAGATTGATTATAGGATACATAACTAGCTACATTTTCACACAATCACATTCACTGACAATCATTAGCTTCAACATTGATGAATTTGATTAGAAAACAAATGAGACTCAATGTGTTTTACCTGACCAGGACCATGGTAAGTAACTTCACCACCACGTTCAGTTCTATAGACATCGAAAGGAGCATTCTTTATGTCGAAATTGAGATAATCCTCTGTACTTCCAGTTCCCATTGTGTAAACTGGTGGATGTTGTAGTAAAATCACTGTATCTGGGCACTCTTGATTTCTATCAATCATAGCTATTTTCTCATTGACAATGCTTTTTTGCCATGACCAAGCTTTCTTGTATGGAACCAATTGATCATAGAGATCAAAACACTCACACCTGCCAAAACAGAGTATGTTATTTGCATTGTTGGTGAATGCACGTAACGTGTTCGTTAAAATGCCTGAAAGAGAAAATAAAGAGAGAGGAACTTTACTTTCTTGGGTTTTTGTGATTCTTCGAGTTTATTATCTTGATAGACTTAGATGCTCTGTTTCTGTTGAAGTCACTAAGATGGTGATGATGGAGCATTGGGTTCGTAACAGAGCTTGTTGCAATGGAAAAAATCATGTCTTTCGAGATAAATTATAAAACTTTACGCTTAGAAATTTCGAAGAAGCAGAAGAATCATCGAGTTTTGGAGAGTAATGGCGGAGACACCGAGGAAACTGTGAGGGTAATTTCGAAATAACTGAACATTGTGAGGGCTATTTTGGTCTTTTTGCGTGAGGTTTTGCCCTAATTTCTGGGTTGTTTACTATATATACAACTGAAACACTGAGAATTTATTCAGAACACACAAATCTTTAAATCTCGATTTGTCAAAATTATGTTTTCAAGCGAGCAAAAATCATTGTTGATTTTGAAAAAGGTTTTAAGGTTACCGGTTCTGTTTGTTTGTTATCCTTTTAAGATCAACAACGATTTTTGGGTCGTTTAAAAGTATAATTTTTTGTGTATATTTTACGGTTAATTTCAATTTGTGTTGTTGTTTTTCTGATTTAAAAAAAAAAAAATTGTGGTGATGATGAAGAAAAAATGACCTTTTATCACATGATTGAGATTTTTTAATCTCGTGATTACCTTTCAAGCACTTCTGAGCCACATTTTGATTCAATTTTTTTTTTTTTTTTATATAGGATTGGTTTTAATTGATAAATTCAATTTGGTAGCCTCATTGATTTGGCCATGAACAGATAAAAAGATCTGAGACTTTTTCAAAAGCTTTTTTTTTTTGTTTTTTTTTTTATTTTGTGGTCGATTCGGATTATTTGTGCTGGATCTATAAGTTTATGATGAATTATGAATGAAGAAATCAATTGCCACCGCCGCTCTAGGGTTTCCGCAAATCACATCTGACGATGATTACCAAATTACATTTTTACCCATGGAAAATATGAAAAAGGACCCAATTAAAATTTACTAAACTTAACCAAATTAACTATTGACTTTTAATTATACATGAAGATTGAATAAAACCAAAAAATATTCACATTATAACTTAATCAAGATTTTTCAGAAAACATAACATTTTAAGAATTTTGGTTTATGTACGAATTATATTGATATTGAAGTTAATTTTGTATTGGCAACTAAAAAATACAAAATGGCTAAGGGTCTGACTGGTTTAAACGCAGCGGTTGCGGTTTTGGTTGCGGGAGTTTGCGGAAGCGGGCGGTTGCGGTTTCAAGCGTTACCAAGCGTTTTGAACGACTGGTTTAGCGTTTGAAAATGGATGCGTTTGCGGAAGTTTTATGACTGGTAAACCAGCGGATGCGGTAGCAGTTAAATAAAAAACTAAAAAAATAAAAAATATTACAAAAAAAAAGAAATAAAAACACCAATATATTATTATGATAATATTAGAAAAATTGAACATGCTTAATAATTAAAACCATAAATAAAGTACTAAATAGTTATTCAAAAATAAAGAAATTTTATAATAAGATAGTACTTTATGCTGGGTCGTTAACACCAAAAATTGTATCAAGTAATGGGACAAACTGTAAATAACGTTGAATTCAATCAAAAAGCAAGTAATTTTCTATTCGAGAAAACAAATCGAAACATATATTCAATCAAAAAGAAAAGCAATATATAATGAAAGAAAAAATATTCAAATTGATTTTCATCAGTTTGGGTGGAAGACATTGATAAAATAAGGTTTTAGAATATTGATTAGGGTTTCTGATGAGAACGTGATACAATGATGAAAGATATATATAAGATTAATATATTTTATAATAATTATAAGTAAACGTTTGATTTTTTTTTTTTTTTAAATCCAACCGCTACCGCCCGCAACCGCAAACGCTTGCGGGAAGGAGCTTTTGAAATTCAGCGATTTCAAGCGGTTTGAAGCGGTACGGAGCGGTTTCTATGATTGGTACCAACCGCTAACAACCGCAACCGACCGCTAGCAACCGCTAGGAGGGTGCTAGCGGGAGAACCAATCAAGCCCTAATTCATAAATTGTTAATATTTTTGCTGAGAAAATGGTTTATCTAATTTATGTTTAAAATAAGAGTCTATTTAATAAAAAAATTAAGAATATATACATGTTTTTTGTATAATTAATTCTCTCTCATCAATTTGTATAAGTTGGACGAAAATACCTCTCTGCATGTAACAAATTGTTTAACATTATAACAAAATAGATATCGATGAAACAAAAATTTCAGATAATAGCTCCGGTCAAATTTTCGATTATGACTCAATTTTCGATAAATCATATTATATCGCGATAAGTGTACAAGTTACATGGTAAATTAATATTTATCGTGTTAAAATATTTATTATATGATTATATCAATAACTTATGTATTACCCGGTTTATTTACTTTAGTAATTTAATTATTTCCGTTAACTTATACATTAGCGTATTCATTTATCATATGATAATATAACTGTTGTGTTTAAGATATGTTAGCATTTTATATACACTGCTAATTAATTTGTTATCCGTTTATGAAATTCAACCCAGAAGAATGTAACAATGGTTGTTGCCGTCGACGATACCCATTCTCCTATCTTGATAGATTAACCTCATCAAATCTGTAATTGGCAAATTCCGTCAAGGTCTTGGACCCCGCAGCTCGATCCATTCAATCCACCATGAATCATTTAGCCGCCGGACTCTCTTTGACGTTATTTTGACCACCGCTTGTAAAATTATCACTGTGGATATCATCATCACCCATCATCAGCGATATCCTCATCACGAATATCATCATCACCACCACCACCTGTAAATCACTAAAACTACCATCGATATCTCAACTATGACCACCGCTTGTAAAATTATCATTGTTGGTATCATCATCATCCATCGTCACCAGTATCATCATCACCACTACCATCTATAAATCACAGAATCTACCACATATTTGATTTTGGTATTCACATAATCGAAACCCAAAAAAATTTGATTTTGGTCTGCACATAATCGTGAAGAGAAGAAGTGATGTAGGAGAAATTTAGGGAATTTACCTTTTCTTTTAATATTTACTTATTTCACGTTTTCTATTTTGTTTAGGGTTTTCTATTTTATGTTTTGGTTTTATTCTCTATATATATAGAGATCGTAGGTTATTTACAGGACATGTTTTTGATTCTAATTAATAAGAACAGAGAGCTTTCTCTTTTCCTGATGGATTCTAGACCCTTTTCTGGTGGATTTCAGAGTTTTATCATTAAGTTTGTCACTATCGAACTTGATTTCAATCTAGGTTTAGCGCTTGCTTAACCTAGGGTTTTCCGACTGCGTTAGGTGGTATCAGAGCAGGCTTTCTCCTGTCTCTTTTTTTCAAAACTTGATCAGCCATGGGAGATCAACCGGTGACCAAAGCAGATTTTCAGGGTTTTACGTTGGCTGTTACCACGTCCCTAACTGCTTTAATCAAGGAGATAAAGGCATTGACAAATCAGGTTAGCAAGACCAACAACAACGTAAATCAACAAAGAGGCAGAGGAGAAAAACTAATTAGGGTTTCACGAAGTGGAACTGATATTGGAGATCAATTGACGGCGTTAATCAATAGGATTAACATTCAACAAAAAGCAAGAGAGGAATCAATTCAGGTTCCACAAGGAGGAAACAATCGTGTTGTGATTGAAGAAAATTTGATCTCTGATGAAGAAGAATCCATGGAGGAAGAGAGTAGACAAAGAAATCTACAAGATAATCAAGATTCCCACATGGATGTTGATGAAGAATTTGAGAAGGACGAGATAGTTGATCGAGAAAATCAACAGAGCAATCATGACTATGAGATGAAGACTAATATTCCATTATTCTATGGAACTTTAGTGATCCAAAAGAACTTCAAAGAGTTAATTGTAGATGCTCATAGGAAGCACTATAAAGAAAAGAATCCAGGGAGAAATATTTCAAGTGTCTTAGTTATGATTCATAGCAAGAGAAATCCAGATGAGTTTTTCAAAAACAATATTGGGTTGATAAATCTCTATACTATTAAAAGAGAAGTACAAATGAAAATGGGTCGGTTTAAAATCAGAAAATTGACCCGAAATTCTGAAATCGGATCTTTGAAATTTTTTTAGAATATAAATTCGAATTAATAATGAAAAATCGAATTAAAATCAAATATTTATGGAAATCAAATAAAATCTGATTGTACTTATGGTAACTAATAATAAAAGCATATTTCGAACAATATTATACATTAATTACGTATAATAAATTTGTTCATATATTTTTGGGACTAATTCCATAACAATCAACGTTTTTGTCAATAATTTCGCTCATTTTAGCCAGTTATCATTAATTGAAAGATATTTTACTTGCTTCTAAAAATTTCTAGAAAATTTATCACAAATAACCCATCTGTTTTATAAATTAAATTGATATTTTTATTTTGGTCGTGTAAATTAAATAGATATTTTTATTTTGGTCGTATAAATTAAATAGATATGAAATCCATGTAACTAATTATAATTTAATTAGATTAAATCGAAATTATGATATTTTCATACCTATAGCTTACCAAAGAAGTTTAATTTTCAATTTATAAAGATTTCTTGAATATGATTTTAGAATTAATCAACAAGATGATAAGTATTTATTAAATTTTGTGAATCATGAAAAATAATAATTAATTTTCAATCATTATACTTCATCTTTCAATCTCTCATCTAACAAATAAGATACATATTCTATTATTCCTATGTCCAAACTTTATTTTGTTGTATGACTAAATAATATTCCCATTAGAACTGTCAAAGCGAGTTGATTCGTTCCGTTAAGTCCGTTTTGCGATAGACAAAAAATATTTTGACTTGTAGTTAGTCGGTCTGCACGACCCGCGGGTAGCATATATGAAATACAAACCCGTCCCGCGAATGTATGCGGATTTGCGGGATTGTCCATGAATTTTGTTTAAATAATTTTAAAGTAACCAAAATTTAAAATACTACTAAAATAAATAAATAAATAAAAATACTATCAAAAGTTTGTTTAAATTACCACATGTTGAATAAATTATAATTTTATCAATAAATACTAATATGCGGGCTGATCCGCCAACCCGCGGATGAAAACCGATTAAACCTATGACCCACTGCGAATTAATCCATGTGGCCCGCTTATTTGCGGGTTTAATATATTTTCCCAAATCTGCCCTATAGTGAGATGATGTGGGCTCGACCCGCGGTTTTTGACATATTTTGACTGCTCTAATTCCCATGAATCGTCTAATTTTAGAATTTTAAAACACAAAATTCTATTTTGTAAATCATAATTAATACGATTGGTATATTTATAAACAATTTTACATTTTCTCTACAATTCGTTATTATGAATATTTATAAGTATACTACACGATTCGTTCTACTAGAAAACACACACAATATTAAATGCAACGTATGTAAACCAATATTCTCCCGCGGTGGACCGCGGGTCCGATCCTAGTGTTGTTAAGGAGAAGACAACAATCTTAGAAGAAGTGCTTGAAATTCTAATTGATTTTAAGGAGCTGAGTTCAGATGGATATCTACATGACTTCCCTCCTATGCGGGATAAGGTCGATGAAATTCTTTATTCAGAAGATAACTCGAGGTCGAGTTCTTTGGAGGTGGAGGAGTCTGATGCAGGAGCTTAATCGTTAGGATTTTAATTAATTTAGATTTCTTTCCTATTTAATATTTTGGCAATTTCTATTAGTTTTCCTTCTTTTTCATAGGGTTTTACTTTTCTTTATTTTCTTATTTCAAGGTTATTTCTTTTTTCTCTAGTTAGGATTTATCTATATAAAGAGGTCCTAGGTTATTGTAAGAAAGAATCTCATAATTATTTTCTTAAGAAGCATTAAAATTTTCTCTTTTCTAGTGGATTCTAGAGTTTCTGGTGGATTCTAGAGTTTTATCTTTCAAGTTCATTGTTTGTGAACTTGTGTTTCAATATAGGATTAGCGTTTGCTTTTCCTAGGATTTTCCGACTGCGTCAGGAGATGAGATGAGATGCGGGACAAAGCAGATGAGATTCTTTATTCAGAAAAGAACTTGAGGACAAGTTCTTCAGAAGTGGAGGAGACTGATGTAGGAGAAATTTAGGGAATTTACCTTTTCTTTTAATATTTACTTATTTCACGTTTTCTATTTTGTTTAGGGTTTTCTATTTTATGTTTTGGTTTTATTCTCTATATATATAGAGATCCTAGGTTATTTACAGGACATGCTTTTGATTCTAATTAATAAGAACATACAGCTTTCTCTTTTCCTGGTGGATTTCAGACCCTTTTCTGGTGGATTTCAGAGTTTTATCATTAAGTTCGTCACTATCGAACTTGATTTCAATCTAGGTTTAGCGCTTGCTTAACCTAGTGTTTTCCGACTGCGTCAAGAAGAAAGGAAGAAAAAAAAGAAAGAATAAAAAAAAATAGTTTAATTATAGTGAAGGATGGAGTCGTCTTTTCCACATGTACACGAAATATCAAATAGTGTGTAAGAGAAAGAATTAATTATTGAATCTTCTATCGTCTGTCATCCAATATAGATATCCATAAATCAACACTCGAAAAGATGATTTATGTTTTTCTAGAATATCATTACTTTTATAGTTTTATCAAAGCAAAATGGATATTTTTTGACCCGACATCATCTTCTATAGTACATATCAGATTATAGTTTATCCATTTTGAACAGTTTCTAGTACTCATACAGAGATTATCCCAAAATACAATCAAAAGCTTGTCGAGGAAAGACGAAATGCGGACTAAAAGTGATGGTTCCCTCTGGTAGGACGACATACATGGTTACGTTTACGAGCATGTTCTTCGTTGTGGTGTTGTGTCCTACATGCGTATCCATACCAACAATCTTCTCTCGCTCCTACATCCGCTGGCAAATGATCTCTCGGCAGTGTTATCCGGAACCAGTATAAAAGGAACCCCACCAGCTTATCATAACAATCACTGCATGTATAATAAGATAACATTCAACACAATCGAAAGAAACTTAAAGACCTTAGATTTGAAGAGTATCCACACTGGACCAGTAACTTACTTGCAAACATGTGTTGATGCAGTTATCATCTCAGCATGATTGAGAGGCATTCTCGAGCGGTCTGAATAAAAAGACATTATTATAACTCAATACATAAGACATAAGCAAATCAAGAATGATAAGAACTATTTCCTCATTGTAGAGTTCAAGGAGGTAAATCAAGTTCAGTTGTTTTTAATGTCTAACGTTTCTTAATGTGCTATAGCTATAAGCTGAGACTCTTAAAATTACCGATTTCTCTATTGTTGAAAAGCCTAAGCCACTCTGCTACAACATCCGGCACAGTTTTCCCCATATGGGTAATGCATCTTTGCGTTATCTACAAAATCCACAGAGAATGTCACCAAAAGGAAATAAAAACAATAACCTGGTAAAGAAAATTTCTTACATCTTGTTCATGGCGATTCATTTCATGGGTTATGAATGGAATCCTTGTAATTGTGCGTTCTGAGATCTGTAAATATTAGCGAGAAATAATGAGAAAAGAGAGGAATAGATTTTAAATATCTTATGAACATTATCATGCAAGCGACTGAAGCAGAAGTGAAACCACAGGGTAAATGTCGAAAACTGAAAGAAAACAAAACTATCTTGAACATAGTAATCCTAACTACAGTAACGTTTTGCATTGCAATACCTCATAGAGAGAAAAGAAAAGCTAAGTTTAAGAAAGTTTTAAGATTTTAGTCTTAAACTAAATCATTCTAAACTCATACAACATACAACAGTATGACATAACTAACATGGGTAAACATTTGATAATCATAGCTCAACCTACAGGTCTGAAAGTTTCGCGACCGCAGACTGGACTAGATACACCTTGTGTAACATTCTCGGAACTCCAGTAAGCACCGCAAAACGGCCTATCACATCCCTTGCCTGCAATAAACTAGAGTTAACTGTGTGTGTGTGTATATGATTGTCAAAGATTCCTTTCCTACAGAACATGTTTATATATTAGTCTCTTATCAGTCCAACCTTGCAATATCCAGCTTTAAGAAACAGAAAAAATTTCTTCTCTGTATTCTACCAGCATCCCATTGTTTTTATTACCCAGTTTAGTAGAAGACATAAAAGATATCATTACAAAACATGGTTACCAACAGGACATACAGCATCCATTCACTTGGTACATATTTTCCGAGTATAGCAATTGAAAGCATCAACAACAATGAACTTACAATATCAAGACGGGAAAAAAAAAAAACAGCAACCATCCTTGAGAGCTAGATGCTAGATTATTTTAACAGTGAACAATGCAAAATAAAGAAGCTTGTAAGTAACTGTAACTTACAGTGTAACGGCACTTGGAGATTGGCTCTAAAGGGCATCATTCCTTGACACATGTGACATTGCAGATGCGCACCATGATGTTCACACCGATAGCTCCCAATATTAGCAACTGACAACAGAGCCGATGGCAGAAAATAATAAATCAACTTATGGAAGACAGGAATGCTCAGATAAAACCCGTGAATGACAGCATTTTTCGATTGTACCACTAGTCCTCGTCCATTTTAGATTTATCAAGTAGATTTTCTTCTTTATTAGGACTAGAATCAATTTATTTTTTGGTTTCTTTTGAATCAATTTATCTTCAATAAACTAGGAGAACAGTAAGAAGAGAGATCTGAAAAATGGGTTCAATTTCTAGTCTCAAAGTTTCTCTGCCATCAACAAATTTCTAGGACAAGTTTAGTTTCTTACTGTACTGCTAATTTGGAAAAACACCTCAATCATATAGTAAATTTTAAAGAGTGTTGTTGGAAGGACTGAAAAAGACGAAATAATAGAGGACACTAGTTAAAAGTAGTAAGTTGAAATGGCAGTATTTTAGAGATATTAAAGGAAACCTTGTTAAACTAGATAGTAGAGATGGGCATATGAAAACAGAGAAAATTCCTGGACAAACGAGAACTGATAGAACCCGTCGACCCGAGATCCACCTTAGGGTCCCACTACATAATCTATAAATTCTTCTACAAAAAAAAACTAATTAATTACTAGTTCCTAATTATCCCACTTCACCTCATTCCCAAGGAATCAATGTTCAAAACTAGTCTATTGACTAAATATAGGGCTCTTATATACTGTGAAAAGATATAAGTCAAACATCCAGACAAATTTATATTACCACATTGTGGGCATTGCAAACGCAAGTTATCTCTTTCTTCAAGTGTGGGCGAGGGCATATTCAAACGACGTTTTCTCTTGCTCCCAATGATCTAAAATGTATGTCAATTGTAGTATTTAAGACAACATGGCAGGTACGTATAACTCACGACTAATTACACCAGAAATAGCAATAGCGTATTCAAGAAATGGTAATGATTTTAGTCACTACACCAAGAAGTCAACGCGGTGCAAGACAAACTTATCTTGAATAACGGCTTTATATATATACAAAAACAGTTACTTAATAGCAGATATTGCATCAAATACTTACAAGATTTGATTGTATAGATGCAGATGAGTCCAACACTGCAATATCTTCAGCTGGTCGTCTCAGTGCAGCATCCACTTTTAATATATCCTAACATAAGTGGGTCTAAATTAGTCATCAAAAGCTCAAGCGTAAATGAAGCACAAGACTATATGAAAAAGATTCTCTAGGAAACGAGTTACAAATGGATAGAACATTCATAAGTAAAATGTAAATGAAGAAAATGTTTGCAAACAAATAATCATACCTCTTGTATGTTTTTTAGAAAATGATTTTTCCCCACATATTGTACTGTTGTTCTGCACTGTGGACATAATACATGTTTATGTTTTTCCTCCGATCTCCGCATCCATTCTGAAAAACAGCCATTACTGAAGGCAGAACACATCAACCATCAACTACCACTAGAGTGAAATATGCCCGTAATGAATGAGAACTAAACAAAATCAACAAATTGCAGACCAGAAATTATGAAGGCAAGGTGCAGCTGTGACAACATCGTGCCATATGTTTAAGCAGATACTGCATTTTGCATGTTCGGGGTCTATTAAAATCTGGAAAAGGAATTTCAAAGAGAGATGTAAGAAAATTCGACATAAATTTTCAAAAATGTAGGACTATTGACTATGAGTGGGTATTATAGAGCACCTGTAATAGCTGAGTTCTGGATTCTGGAGCTGGCATTATTGTAAATCTGTACTGCAGGTAACCTGCCAAATTGAACAAAATCAAATTAAAAATATATAGAAATTTATTTTCTTAAACGTAACTTCAGCAACAAAGAAACCTACACAAACAGTAACTTGAAATAATGTCTGAAACTTCAGCTTCTGTATCTGAGGCTCAAAACTACTTAAATGAGAAACATTTACATATCAATATAATCATACCAATTACTTTCCTCCAACATAGATACAATGTAACAGGAATGCACCAAATATTATTATTTTCTAAGTAAAGCATTTCATTGCCCTAGACTAGTACAATTATCCATACCATTTTCTAGACGAAAACAAATAGGCTTTAAGACACAAACTAAGGACTCAGAGAGATAAAAAGGTAAGCAGGTCTAACCTTGACCTTCAGGGCCAGGAACAATTTCAGATCCACTAATGATATCGACAGCACCATCTTTCGGGATGACAGCCTCGTCAACAAGTATAGCATCCGAACTAAGCAAACACCAAAGGGCAACAAATAAAGAAAGATGTGATGGCAAAGTAAGAAAACAAAACACCAACATACAAGAGATTAAAAGAAATCCAAAACTGAATTAGGTAGCCAGAAATCAAGAGTTTATCAAATCAAAATGAGCAGCAGACTCGAAGCTAGATAAAAATGTTGGATAAAGAAGATCTTTGGTTTCCAAGTCTAGATAAATGTTCCATAGAGAAAATGGTATCATTACGAAGAAAATTCCCTATACAATTTAGAAAGAGCGACCTTCTAATAGTCTTAGTAAACCAGACGAGAAATTTTCCAATCTGCAACAACTACAAGACATAGCTAGTGAAGTGAACTTAAATAAAAAGTTATTGGCATACCTCTTATTATGTATAGTAGCAGAACCTTGACCCAAATTCTTAGTTATTCTGCACCATTCATGTCTCTCTACTGAAGATGGTTTAATCTCAGAGCATATTACCATATCATTGCTCTTAATCTCAATGTCTGAGAATCTAGTGTCCAGAGGAACTGCAAATTTGAACATAATCATTATGAAAGACCCACAATAAATCTCAAAAGAAAGTGAATTCGTCAATGGAATAAAAATGAAAACTTGTAATCAATTAGAGAAGTCAGCAACACAAGGAAACAATACTGACAGTTTAGCCCATGCATCATCAGAGGTTTTGGAACCAGAGGATTGTCCAGTTTCCGCCGTCGTCATCGGACTTCCAATTCCAAAATCTACAAAAGTTTTCCAAACGTTTTCTTAGTGGTTACTCCATCACCGCAACGAATTCTGGAATCAAATTTCAAATTGATGGAAACAAGAAGACAAGTTGTCATTTGTGGTGGAAAATTACCTCGTAGGAACAGTAGTAGATACTCGAAAATAAGAGATTTCAACAGAAACTAAGAAAGTCTCTCTCTTTAATCTCGTCGCGAAGAAGAAGATGATTCGAGAAAGAGAGTGGTAAGCACGATTCCTCTATTCGTCTAGGGTTTCTCTCTGTTGAAGAATCTCTCCATTTTTAATTTTTTAAAGAAAGGTTTGATTTGTGTAACAGTCTGCACTCACCGGAATATGTCAAATGACCGTACGTTACCAATTTGACACTGCATTTAAATCGAATCGAACCGAACGGAGTTGAACCGAATCTATTTATAATTGCTTCATCCGGTTCCGCATAACCAAAATTTCGGATTTCACCGACACATTCCGGTGTGTTAAGTCATTTATATTCAAATTTTGACAGTTCAAAAACTGGAAAACTAATATATAAAAAAACAACAACAAAAAAGCAATCACAACGCGATACAGACCTCTAATCTAAACCGAGAGAAAAATTCTCCCTAGTTATCCTGATAAATCCCCATTGGATCGAATTGTTGCCATTACAAAAGGCTCATGACCCTTATATATTAGTGTAGAAATCTCCCAACTTCCAATGTGCGACATTTCTACTATCTAATAGCCATTATTCTGATATACTCCATTCTTCACGTTAATATCTTTTGTGTACACATAATGCATAACACAAAGCAGCCTTTCTAACACGAGATGGAAACAAGCCGCTAAGAATCCTACTCCTTATATCACTTTGGATGTTGCTTATTCAACAAAGATAGACTTCTACAAGTCAAAAATGTTAAACCTGACTCTATCGTCTCCCTCGCAAACCCATTCGTCTTTGAAACATCTTTTTGCGTACCTCAATTTATCCTCTAGCTTCTCGAGCACTTTCTTGCTTGTATTTTTCAATAGCCGACGACGATAAGAGTCCATCATTAGAGATGTCAAATGGGCTTCGTGACCATGGGCAAGACCAGTCCAAATTATAATGGTCTGGATTTGGTCGCGCCCAAATTCGAAGCGGTCAACATGGGCTAGAAGCCCATTTAGTCCACAAACAAATGGGCCAAACTCATATGGACATGGATCGTCCAATAAGCCTTAAAAATTAGGGTTACTAATTTGGAGAAATTTTTTTTCTTTATTTTTTTAAAAAATTAAGATTTACACTTGACATTTTTACTACCAAAAAATATTTTTATAGTTTTGGCGGAAAAATGTGATTTTACGATTTGGCGGAAAAATGCAATTCTTCGATTTTGAGAAAAAATGTGCTTTTGCGGTTTTGGCGGAAAATAGAAAATCATATTATTTGGGCCTCATTGACTGTCTAGTTGGTCATGGTCTTATTTGGGTTTGATCTTAATTGCACACGGTCCTATTTGAGCTTATACTATCATGGTCCTATTTGGTCTTGGTCCCATTTGGACATATCCATTTGGACCTGGACAGCCCAATTGACATCCCTATCCATCATTGAAAGAGCTAATAAACTTTCCTTTTGAGAACTATTTCAAGGTGATGCAAGATTATGCAAACGAATTAAAATCAAAAGAAAGCAAAGAGAAAAATACTGAGAAATTATGGTTGGTGACAAATCATTACACCAAAATCCACACTAATGTAAATACATTATTTTCTTTGTGTATTGAAAGAACACAATTTTTTACTTATAAAACAACTGCCTTCAGTTTTGGTTCTATCACTTGTTTTTTTTACATGGAAGCCAGAAGTCCCCTCATTTCAGTAACCCCAGGAACGTTCTCATTCGGGTAAACTTTGGCTACAAGTTCCACGAAGTTCTCGTACTTGTCCAGAAATTCCTTCTGTTCAAGTTCACACAACAACACATTGATTTAAACATTGAGCTAATAATGCACTGCTATTTAATACTCTCTTCAACTTTTCAGTTTAAATTGGTACCTTGCATTTATCCCACAACGGTGGTAGCAACTCCACCAATGTTAAATTCTTCTGCAACTGTTTATACATTGCTGCAATCGATTTGTCCGCCTAAACACAAAGAGAAGAATGGAAAGGTTAATGGTAAAAGGTCTGTGAACAATTAATACACTCTTAGTGAACATTTGTTTACCCCTGACAGGGTTGATTTTAACATCTTTCGGAGTTCCTTTTTCGACAAACCACGCTGGAATGGTATCTGAAATATAGAAAAAAATGTATTAGCCAAGTCGCCAAAACATATGAGAAAGTGAAACTTTGGTGAAACTAGTTAAGTAACAACTAACCTCTTCAGGGGTGATAGTATACATGAAATCCTCAATTTTTTTAGAAAATTGGAAAAGTTTTTCGAATTGCTGCAGGGACGAAAGAACACATGAAGGAACCACAATTAACTCCAAAAGAATGGGAAAAAAAAAGAAGAAGGAGAGAGTTATGCTATATTAGCTGCAAATGGAAAGCAAACTTACGTAGTAAATTATCATGCTAATGCGGCGCGTACAAGCTTGTTCATATGCTTCACTTGCCTGATGATAGAACTTGGCTAATGTGGGTACAACATCAGCCAGTTCATAAAAGCTGCACACACAAAAAGTACGAGGTTATGGCGTATGAGTAGTCGGGGAAAAAAAAAGATAAACCAAGAGAGAAAGCGGGTTAGAAAAGGACCTACCTATTTTGGAAAGCAGCATAGTTTTCTAAAAGGAGAATATCTGCATATTTAGGATCTTGCTGGGCAATCTTCTCGAGGGTCACGAACATTATGCTTACCTATAAAACATTACGATTCAGACTCTGTTAGCTAAAGCGAGAAAGAAAGAAAAGAAATTGACGATAGTAAATGCAGAGACAATCTGAGATATGTTTTATATATATGTTGTTGTTGTTGTTCAAGTCGAGAAAGAACTAAACTAATGGTGGGTTTATACAGAGGGGTTGGTTGGTTGTTACTGCTAACATTATAGAAATGCTATAAATCATAGAAATAGCAGTACTCACATATTTCGTGTATGCCTGATCAACCAAATCTCTAGATTGCCCTTGTATGTACTGTTCCATACGAGTAGCAACTGCTGCAAATCTATGAAAATGAGATAATAATGTTAGGATAGCCTCAAGTTCATTTTTAACAATATGGACTTCATGATTACCTTGGAATATAAGGCAAGACACCCATCTATCTCACATTAAGTTCATTTCTTTCGATTTGGTGACAAGCTTCATCTACAAACTGCAGTTAAAGTCAACTTGACTTGATTAGTAGAAATGATATGCCAGGAAGAAAAGCTAAACAATCTCTGAATAGACAGAATACATGGCTGAATTGCATAGAAACTCTCGACTCCAGATCTCCAAGCAAAAGGCGAACAAATCCTGAAGTATCGGCTTTCTGACGTTCAGTTATACCATGCATTGATATACACAGTAGGGGATCTATTTTATATGCCCAGTCAATAACAACAAAGAACTCCTCCTGCAGTGACAAGAACACAAATCTCTTATTTAGTAAGATAAATGAACTTTAACTCTAGATCTTAACATATAAACATTTTAACACAAAAAAAAAAACATATTGAGGGACCTCTTACTTGAATACTATCAAGTAAATCTTGAATAGATTCATTCAATGCCTTCAGGTCCAGGGAGTTTTGACCTACAAAATTGGAAAATTGTTTTGCTTTCCGAACCATTAGACCTTATAATATGAGGAAGAAGCGGAAGGTTTACCAGTTTTCTTGTCCATGATACCCAAATCATCATTGTTGGACCGGTTTTTGTTATAACTAGCAGCACCTCCAGGAGGAGTAAGAGCCGGTACCTCAAAGCACATGAAGTGCGCAAGAAAAGAACTCTATAGTATGAAGCCAAAAAGAAACATGAGGATTTGGTACATACATCAGTTGCATCTAAAGGCCAAACTGAAAATCAATGGGTTAACAATTACCTCATCTACAAGAAGAGGGATGAATGTTGTTAGCATTTTGGCATAAGCATCTGCCACTGCAGAGGTGTCAGTGTTTGCATTCTGATTAGAGCCCTTAGATTCTTCTAGCCAGACAGTGGAATTTTGGGATACTTTTGTGCTTGCACGAAGCTCATTCGTGAACTCACGAGCCTGTACATTTTGAAGAATAAACCTTTGGTAACTGAATTGCTGAATATCCACGAATTTTAACATTCAGTAGGTTTTAGCAGCCTTTGTCAATGAAGTGTTCCAGTAAATCAGCAGTCACATTGATAAAGAAAAGAATAAGTGCTCCTCACCTCCCGACGAAGGAGCAAGTTCATTGAGCTGCAGTATGCTTTTCTCAATGGACCCAAACAATTCTTATCAAGACCCTGCAACAAGGAAGGAGACAAGGAATCATTCTACTGCACTGAACTTTTGGAATGTCACCTAGTCACTTCTCGGTTTTACCTTTAAATGTTGCAAAAGACGAGCATATGTTCTCCATTTGTACCGCAAATCTGCATGGTCAGGCCTCTTCAGCTGCCCTCTCTGTTTATAAGATGCGGCGATAAATATTCAGAATTATAATCACTAGACTTCATATTGGATATATAGAAATTTACGCAAGTAGTACCTGAGAAAAGTAGCTTTTGTCGATAACAATGAAATCTACCAGACTAACAAAGTAGTTTCTCAAGAACTCTGAAGCTCTCCTTACAAAAGTAGCTTTTAATGTATCTAGTTCTGCTCGTTTCTCTTTTACCTGAAGAAAATACATAATAGACACACTTTTATGAATGGTTCAGACAATTATTAATGTACTTTTCTATTCACAACACGTAATGTAATAAGCAAGGCCGATTCACTGAAAAATTAGAATAATAACATAGATTGGGTCTAAGTTGGGCACTTCAAGACCCTTTAAAGCTTTGGCTAACCACTCGCAAGCATCAATATTCTGGAGCATGTCTGCTTCATCAAATGAGCCTCCTGTTAGGGATGCTGCATACTGCAATCAACAACACTTCTATAAGCGAACCAATTAGACAGAAGAGAAGCAAGCACACAAATTATTCATATGGTTAAAATAAAGTGAAACAAACCTCAGAAGGCACACACAGACTCTCAATAACTTCATCAAGTTCCTCAATGAGAGCTTTATTGTTTACAGACTGCATCTCTAACTTGTTTCGAGTTTCTGTCTGGTAACAACAAAAAAGTGAGAACATGTGTTGACATATGAAGAAAGTGCTTGCAGTGAACAGATAATTCTACCTCATATTTTTGGCCACATATTGTACTGTTGTTCTGCAATGTGGACATAACACCTGTTGAGGTTTTTCCTCAGATCTCTGCATCCATTCTGAAAAACAACCATTTTCTTGAATGAAAACAAATAGGCTTTAGGAAATAAACTCAAGACTCAAAGAGATAAATATATTAGCAGGTATAACCTTCTCCTCCAGGGACAGGAACAATTTCAGATCCACTCATGATATCAACAGCACTATCTTTCAGGACAACAGCCTCGTCAACAAGTATAGCATCCGAACTAAGCAAATACCAGAAAGTGCAACAAATCAAAATAAAGAAAGATCCGATGTTAAACAAAGAAAACAAAAACACCAACAGCAAAAGATTTAAAGAAATCCTAAACAAGATTTTAATATAACTAAAATTAGCAGCAGAGAAAAGAGTGATACTTGAAGCTAGTTAAAAATGTTATTCATATGCGGGTTCGATAAATAAAGATCTTTTGTCTACTTATAATAAGACATTGCAAAAGAAGGTAACTTAAATGACAAGTTATTGGCATACCTCTTGTTATGTATAGTGGCAGAACCTTGACCCAAATTCTTTGTTATTGATGGTTTAATCTCAGGGCATATTACCATATCATCGCATTTAATCTCGATGTCTGAGAATTTGGTGTCGAGAGGAACTGCAAATTTGAACAGAATCATTATGAAAGACTCAAACATGACATGACAGTGCAGTAGTTTGAGAATAATGAGGAATTGAAAAAAACAAGTAATGGAACACTTAAAAAGTAAATTCTTTAATGGAAACACCACAAGAAAAGAGACGATAGATATTCGAAAAATTCGCTGAACAATAAAATGAGATATAATCAATTAGAGAAGTCAGCACTACAAGGAAGGAAACAAGGCTAACCAGAGGATTGTCCAGTTTCCGCCGTCGTCATCAGTGCAAAGACTCAAGAAAAAAATAAAATATCGACAGTGCAACGAATTTCTGGAAACTAAGAAAGGTCGTCTCTTTAATCTCGTCGAGAAGAAGAAGAAGAAGATGATTTGACAAAGAAGAAGCACGACTAAGCTTTCGACGATTCTCTCCATTTTTAAAAAAAAAAAATGTGCAAATGGCAAATGACGTGCGTTACCGACTGGGACAAAGAAGGACTAATTCTCTGTTTCTTCAATGATTTTTGAGTTTGATAATCGGGAGACGAAGAAGCTCTCCATTTTTATATGTGCAGAGATACAGTCAAAATAGCACAAGTCGTACGTTACCGATTGAGACAAATCGGCCAAGGCGGATTTTGTTTTGACAGATGTAAAACTTTTTTTTTTCTTTTAAACATATAATAGACGTCTAGCATCTACACGAAGCAGAATTGACAAAATATATGTTCATGAGAAGGTCAAGAGAAGAGACAATCCCTATCATGATCAAGTTTCCAAACATGTTGGCTAAAAGAGCCTCATTGAAACAAACCAAATCACACAAAACCAATTAATGCTTCTAAATTTTTTGGCAGGAAGATATATGGCAAACAAAAAGAAGGATGAGACACAAATTTAATTGACTAAAAATAATCTTTGTTCAAAGAACATGCATGATAAAAGAGAAAACAAACAAGTTTGCAAAAAATATCTTATAGGTATTGTAAAATGGACTAACTAAAGCTGCACTAAACTCGGAACATAAGAGCACACAAGTGGATAACAAAATTTGTTTGCGGATATTCCAAGATCCACTTCTTCCAAAATTCCATCCACTCCAACGATATAAGCTATGTTGTGAGTGGACACTAAATCTTTTTTTCCTTTATCAAAAACCACAGCAACTTTCTTTTCCTCGTCAATAAAGAAACTCGCAGCTCCAACCTCTAACTGAAAGGAAAGAGCAGTAAGTGGGTTCATATCCACCGCTAAGAATATCTTACTGTTCCACGACACCGAGTTGGGCTCAATTTTCGTTGTTACCCAGATCTGCATCTGTGATGTATAAGAGCACTGAAAAAAATAAAACCGCAAGCTGCTCGTCTCTGACACTAGATAGACTGACAGTATATGAAGTAGAAAACTCAAACAGCAGACGCAAACACCGCCCAAAACTCTCTCTTGTGAAATTAAAACAGACTAAGAAACGTCGCCTGTTTCTAACAAACCAGTACGTATTTCTCTTGACAGAGACGCCACGACTATCAGAGTGTATCTGACAGTATGGACTGATATCAAGAACCCTCCATGAATCAGAGTTAATATCGTAGATTTTAAACTCAACATAGTAGGAGAAAAAATCAACAAATCTCAAGATTTTGTAGCTGCGGCATGATTTGCTGCGCTTCTCGTATCCAAGAGCATACGAGTACAATTTGTGGAAATCATGTGTAGGCTCGATCCACCGGGTTTGCCCCCAATACGGGTTCCAAACCACTACCCTAGTGTTATCCACCATAATGCATAACAATAAACCGTCGCAGTGAAAGACTTAGAGATACATCGACTTCATCGCCTAAACTAAAAAGTTCACCTTCACGCTTTATACATGACTCAACGTCATTGTGAAGATTGACGCGCATCAAATAAACCCTAAAATCCATCATCATGACCATCATAAACTCTCCTTTCTTTGCTTCTACTTTTGCTTGATCATCAAGGTACTACTTTCGGACTCTTCTTAGAGATGTCAAGGGAATTCTACAGAGCACCTCCTTACCCAAATCCCTTGGAAGATTGGACATGTTCGTCATTGTTTCAACCAGGATCGATGTAACAACGTTAACGTAGTAAATACGTTACGTTAACTTTCAAAAACTCTTACTATATGTGCTTCTGTGATTACCGATTCTCTCCCACCTTTTTCTATATAACAACATAAACCCTTAATGAAAAGATTCCATGACGAGAAAACAAAAACTTAAAAAAGAAGGAAAAAAATATATATATTTCCTATTCCTCTGATTACAGATTTCTTCCCCCTCAAGGTATAGAAAAAAATTAAAGACACTAACAAAGATCATGTGGTGATTTGTAGGGTCGGTAAACAAGTCTTTAAATCTTCCCGGACGTAACGGACCGGTCGTCGGACAGGGGTGGGCCCATGGGCCCGAGAGAGGACGTGTGGCCCACTAGTAGGGACGGTTGGAGCGTTATAGGAGTCTTCTCCATATTTAGGTGTTTCCCCATATTCATAGAAAACCAATAGTAAATCACTATTTTTAGCGTGTGATTGTAATGTGGGGTTGATTGTGAGAAATGCGGATGATTAGTCTTTAGAATGCAATTCTAAAATCTTAAATAAAAAAAATGGGTAATAATAAAGGGATTATTAGAGATTTTGCCACTTTTGACCTATTTTTTTTTTTTATGGATCTGCCATTTATCAAATGGGTTTGTTGATGATGCGTGTGATATTTCGCTTCAATCTTTTAATTCGAAAGACCACACGACTACTGCAAGTGCATAGTGAATCGTATGTAGTATTTAAGGATCGAATTCCACAGAGATTGAGGTTGCAGCACAAGTCTATTAAGAGTAAGAATATGGCTAAGACGAAAAGATATTTGGTTGGTTTCGGAAACGAATTTGAAACTGAAAAGCAAATAAAGTACACGTAAGAGATCAAGGAGTTCGAATAGGGTTTAAGGATCGTTTCAAGCATATTAAGGATCTTAGATATGTTATAATCAAATTCATAACTACGAAAGGCGAATAAACGAATTAGACTAGGTCATAGGACTAACCGGCAAATCTCCCTATACTCCGTTACTCAACTTGCGCAGGCAACGACGCATAGTTCGACGTATTAAGATTGGATTCGCTAAGTACTCTAAGTCTTGTTACTCAACTTACGCTGGAAACAATACGAAGGATTAGTAACACTAGCGAACCTAACTACAATGCATTAAGTAAAAGATGTCCCGAAAGAATTACTAAAAGAAAGTAACCCTAGATCCAGCAACTAAACGAATCGATACAATAATCCCATCAACAAAACCCTAGATCTATAACAAAACAACTAAACAAATAAGAAGAGATGAAAGCTAAGAAAAAACGAAATCATAAACTTAAATATAAAAGTAAAGGATTCAGAATACTCATCAGTGAGATACAAAGAGAATGATCCATCTCCCTTGATGCAACAGAATGAACAACAACGAAGAAACTATGAAAGAAAAGTGTTTAGATCTATGGTGAAAGTGAAAGAGAGAACTTGCGGCCAAGAGACCGAATTCTCTGTAGAGAGGTGCGGACAGAGGCCGACTTGTTTATTCTAGGGCTCCTCAAAGTGTATTTATAGGTCTTCAAGTCTTCTAGGTCGGTTTAGGGTTTTTCCCAAGTCAACATAAGTGAAATTATGTCGTTTTTCCCAAGTCAACATAAGTGAAACTATAGTGGTAGATTGCACCTACATAATACTATTTATGTATACTATGTACTCCTAGTTTAAATTTATAAACCATTTTTATTAATTATTATCAGTTGACAAAAATAAAAACTTGATCAGTTATTGGATCCTCAACAAAATTACATTGTGTGAGTGAGAAAAATTTAGAAAATAATAATTAATGTTTCATGGGAATGGTTTTCGGTGTTTTATTTGTCAAACGGCTTTTAATATCCTAGATAGTTTCTTAGATAGATACATACACAAATGGTATCCCACAATATATGCAATATATAGTAGTTTTTGGCATATTCCAATACATCTCCTAAAATTTAAAAGTGCTGATGCAAACACATAACTTGAGTTGAAAGCTATCAAATTCCTTACTTGAGTTCTTTGCCAATGATGGTTGCGTGGTGAGACGTTGTATGAACATAGGTCATAGTAAAAACATTCTGTCAAATTCAGCAATTCCTAAGTTATCATTTGCATAAAACTAAATTCAGCTGATTTCAAACAGATTCAATAGTACTATTTTCAACACCAACTGACACATACATATATTCATTACGGGTAAAAATTCGGATAATAACAAAGTACACAACTTGAATTAAAATATTTTGGATATCAAAATTATACCTCAAAATTATACCTCAAATTTATATTTTCAATAAGTCAGATAATACGAATACGATATATGAATAATTTTTGTTCGGATAATTTTGGATAATTTAAAATGAATTTTAGAGAATTAGAAATTGCTTAGAATTTGAAGAAGTCTCGATGAATTGCGAAGGATAAAAAGTCGGTCACTTTACCTCTTCGGCTCTTCCCAATACTTTCTCTTCTAGTTGTTTTCGTTTATGATGTTGGCATCGTTTAGTATTTTCACCTTTATCAATATTGTTTTAAGAATATTTTTTGGTGCCCTTTTCAAAAATGTTTGATATAAGATTGGAATCCACCAAATCTTATTGATCACAAGATGTCAAGAGTTGACAAGCTTTCACGCGGAAATGGGCGTTGGTGCAGATGGAGATGGAGTTTGCGATTGATTACACAATCACACACGAACAAGAAGACTTGATTCCACAAGCAATCTGATCCGTAAATCAATAGAAAGGAAGTGATTCCACACTTAGATTCTAAAGACAAGAACAAGAACAATTCAAAGACTCTCTTTGATAGAAAACAAACTTTTATTAAATCAATGATAATGGGTGCTTTACAATAAATTCGAGACTGAGCTTTTATAGGCTCATTAACAACGGTCCTAAGAAGCTAAAACAAGAAAAGAATCGTAAACTTTAAAGAATAGAGCCGTTGGAGCTTTGATGACAAATCCGGCCAAATAAGGAAATGTCTTGAGTTTTATATCTAGACAGCTTGGGGAGGTAGGTGCGGTTTCTTGGGACATTCTGGAAGCAATTTGGATCCTCTATCTCGTTCCCAAACATAAAGGAAACGAGCCGTTGCAATGTGAACACCTTAAATGAAAATGGCTCCAAATAAGGCAAGTCTTGGGGATGAGGTTTGGTGAAGTTGGGGACGCTCTTTGGAAGTCTCTTTCTGTTTTAGAGGGTCTCCATGTTGTGTATAAACTTAATAAAAGGAAATATCTGCTGTGAAAACTCCTTTATTGCTTCTAGTGTGAATGCGTCCGGAAAAGGAAAATGTAAGTGTGAAAGGATCCGCCTGATCCCGTAGGTACTAGTGCTTGGGAAGACTTCTTCTAGATGTCTTAGAGTATCTCCTGGTCGCCAATGATAGTTTTGGAGTGAACCAATTATGGAAAAATCCATTCTTGGCAACATACGGCCCGCGGGTAAGGCCAAATGAGTAACTCCTAAACCAACTCGAACCGTGAGTGATTTGACTCTACCATTCTTCATAAAATATGCATAATGACGGCAAATATCAAAGATAGGTCGAGGAAAAGTGACTTCGGGTCGATGATCTTGTAGTTGGCTTACTCCGGGTGGGTCTTCTTGGCGCTTGAGTTGATTGGGTCGGTATTTGTTGATTATGTCTCGACCAAATGTCTTTATATATGTAACTTGCTGGTGAATCTTTAATTTGGGCCGGGTAAATTCGTCATTGGGACGGTGGATTTGATTTTCGTGTGCTCCGGGTGAGTCATCGTGGACCAACTTCAATTCACCATGGTGATTTATGATTCCAGCTGAATCAATACTCTTATTAGGATGGATTTCTTTGTAAATATCCAGTCCTAGGCCATTTGCTTGATCGGAACTTGGTTTGCGCCAAAATTCTCCTTTTTGGTCCGGTTTGGTTTGGTTGAGGCTTGAACCTGCTGGTCTAGTCAACTCCGGGTCTGGTTTGGTTCTGATGTCCACATCAATGTTCCATTCAGCTGTTCATTTGCAACCAAAGTAGAATCCAAGTAAAATTGACTTAGTCTTCTTATACACTCATTCCTAACCAAATGCATATTTGAGTTTTATTTTGACAAGTTCCCAACATTCATTCCCCAAAAAATTGATAATACATATTTGACTTTTTGGTTACATGTTTATGTTCGTAGAAGAAACCAATATGACTAAAATCTGCATCCTCGATCTCTTTTTATGTTTCATTTGAATGTGGCTGGACCAGACAGGTTTCAAATTGGTCCTGACATTTTAAGGGTTTAAGATTTGTTCTTAAAATTGTAGATTAATCGTGTGATCAATTCGACAGGATTTGTGAAGCTGGTTCTATAAAGATCGGTTTAAAATTGATCTAAGATTCATTGAAAGTTATAAATCAATGAAAGGGAAGAAGAAGTTAACGAGACTCGAAACTACTTGAGGGACTGCAAATGGCATTAGCCAATGAAGACCAAACACGTTCTATCACAACCTTGACAAAGATGGCCTAGGAGCTTTGAAGAGGGATCTACCAAAGACCGGTTGCAGCTTGAAGGAACAGGCTAAAAGAAAAAGAATATTAGTCTCACATTACATTCCAATTTCATTAACTTAGTAAAATGAACCAAATCTCATAAAATACACTAGATCCTTGTAGCTTAATTTCATGACTCTACGTGACAAAACAAAATTTAGGACATCTTTATATTTTTTCCGAGAACAGAGTACAAAGTTGGGTTTGGCTTACTGAGCAAATTTTTACACGTGTTAATACTTAGTTACGTTGCTCATGTGTTTTGATTTGGAAATAAAAGGTTTTAACAGCACTGTGTTTGATTCTGATGTATGCATTTGGAAGCTAGGCTGAGTGGATTTTAGGAGTTGGGAAAAGCAGAGCTTAAAAATAGAACGGGAAACGAATAAAACAGCAAAAGTTAAACAGAAGAAAGAGTTTAACAGAGCAAAGCGTTCAACAGAAGAAAGAGTTTAACAAAGATGAAAGCTCAATGTTTTCAGAGGTACATAGAAATGATAAAACATTGTTGTCAAACCAGGGGGTAGTTGAGACCTGCTGCGCACAGAAGTTAGTCATCAGAACCAGAAACAGTATCCTCTATGCCCTTACGCTTTCGTTTACATGAAAGGTTTTTCCAAGACAATAAGGACTTGTTAAACATAAGCCTTTCCGCCGTCTCAGTTTTATCATCAGGTAAGTCCGTATCAGGGATTGTTGCAAAAATATTGAAACCTCTATATCCCAAACCTAGAAGAAATGGCCAGAATTGTGGATCTTCTACACTGGCATTCGCGATTACCAACAGGTTTGGGCACGCAGAACGATTTTTCACAACCCAGCAAATAATGTCCACCATCATCACAGTAAGTCTTGTATATTTGTCTGCTGAAACTGAGGTGAATATGGAATGGGTACGATAGCTATCCGGGAAAGATTTCTCATCAGCACCATAAGCCAAGATTAAGATGTCATCCTCTGTTCCAAGAGCTGTCTTGATATTCTGAATAAACGTTTCAGGCTGCAGACCTAGAGGAACTTGGTAATCCTGGACGTCCCAGAAGACGCATGTACCAACCTTTTCGGGAAGGACGAAACAGGTACTACTCTCTGCCTCTGCCTCAGGGGGTATGAAAGGCTCTGGAGAAACTCTACGCTCTACCTCTTCTACATCCATTACATCATCTTCTTCTTCTTCTTCTTCATCAGGATCATAAACATTTGCAAGTACTTTTTCTTTATCAAATAGGTCTGGACAAGACACTACTGGGACTTTTGATGAGGGATCAGACAGCAGTGCTAAGGAAACATTGCCATACTCGTCCTCAGATAAGGAGACTCCAAAATCTCCATATGATTTATTGGTATCATTAGGCATTGCAAACAAAACATTGCAACCTACTCGTCTCAAAGAAACAAGAGCCTTAGTCATCATCTCCGTGTGCTCAGAGATTTTTGAAAAGACCACCAAATTTGGTTTTTTACTTCCAAAACGCTGGCTCCTTGCCATTGATGCAATGTCCCATAACATCAAATTAACGAATGCCGATCTAGTATTCCCTGAACGTATGTACGATTTTATATATATATAAAAGTTAAAGACAAAACAAAGAAAAAAACAAGGAAAGGGTTCTTTCTTTCTATGTAAAAGAATTTACCTAAGAGCATGACGTTGATTCCGACATCTTCGCACTTTAACATCTGGTCTTCGGAGAACATATCCCTACCACAATAAGCATCGATTGAGCGCAGGCTTCGAACACCCTCTTCATAAAGAGGCAAGCGGAATGCCAAACCAATATAACCAGGGTCGGAAAAAAAAATACTATCCTTAGACGGGTGCCAACTGTGAACGTCCCAGAAGGCGAATGTCCTAGCCACTGCGACGTTTCATAAAACGGACAAGTCATAAACAATCACGAAACGGAAAAAAATAAAACAATCAGATCCATTAAAATTTACATAGACGATTAAAACAAATGAAATCTACAAACAATTCCGAGATCTTACCGGCGAAAAGTCTTCTTCTGGGCATGGTGTAGACGGAGTTAGATCGAGAGACGATAAAGAGGAAAAGGAGAAAAACAAATTAGGGTTAAATCTTAGAGCATGATTATAGGTAGTGTCTTAGAAATACTTCTTAGTGTTATAAACCATATAGATGGACTCCATAACCGGTCCATAGCCCATTAGGGTTTTACCTTATTCTCTGTATCCTGCTATTATCCTTGTATATATATCCCCTATCCTATTAATGAAAGACACAGTTTACAACACGTTATCAGCACGATAGCCTCTCACCCTGAAAGTTAAAAATCCCGAAACCCTAAATCTCTCTCACAAAAACCAAAACCAAAACCCTAGCCGTCTCTGTAAAACAAAATTCTAAACTCTATCGAGATAAGTTTTCTGTTCATATTTGTTTCTGCACGAATTTTGCACGGATTATCTGTTATCAATTCTGTCTGTATTCCTGCACGAATTTTGCACAGATGATCTGTTATCTATTCTGTCTGTAGTTTTGCACGAATTTTGCACAGATTATATGTTATCAATTTTGTCTGTATTTCTGCACGAATTTTGCACGGATTATTTGTTTTCAATTCTGTCTGTAGTTTTGCATGAATTTTGCACGGATTATATGTTATCAATTTTGTCTGTATTTCTGCACGAATTTTGCACAGATTATCTGTTGTCAATTCTGTCTGCAGATTTGCACAAATTTTGCACGGATTATTTATTATCAATCCTGTCTATATTTTTGTACGATTTATGCACGGATTATATGTTATTGATTCTGAACTGTTTTATGCAGTATATTACAGAAACCCTATTTTTTTTTTTACTAATGTAATAGCCATGTTTCCATGAGCAAAATTTTGAGTTTCTCAGGAATCAGGATTATATATATTGAGATTTTGTAGGATGACCCAACCAGCTAAGAGACATAACGTTTTCCAATCTCCGTATCAGATCTCGGGTCTCTGTTTCAGTTCTCCAATTAAGATAAGTGCTATTTATTTATTATGCTTTATATACATGATCCAATTAAAGTTTGATAAGATAAAATTTGCATGAAAATTGGCACATGTGATTTGATTTATGATTGGAGAATTAATTGAGAAGTTAGTGAATGGAAAGATATTTAATGGCATGATAGATTGAATGTTTTAATATAAACCCTAGGTTAAACCGAAAGTAAACCGAAACCCTAAATCCTAGGTTAAACCGGTTTAATAAACCCTAAGTCATGGTTTAAGATCAAGTTTCCCATAAATAGAAAGTTCCATATAAGGAAAGTTTCCAGAAATAGAAAGTTTTGTAAAATAGCAAGTTTCCCAAAATAGAAAGTTACCAAAATAGGGAACCCCTTCATAAGGAAATATTCCAAAACCCTAAAATACACGTTTGTTTAGGATTTCTTTCTAGATGAGAAATAGAAAGTTTCCATAAATGGAAAGTTCCATATAAGGAAAGATTCCATAAATAGAAAGTTCCATACATAAAACCGAAATCCTAGCAAAAAAAAAAACCCCTAGTACTATAAATCGTGGATGCTAAAACCCTAAAACTGAACCGCAAAATCCTAATATCCTAATCTAGTATGATCCGATTGTTTGGTTGTTGCATACTAGATCAATCTTCTAGGGTTGATTTCATCCATATATATATAACATGATTGTTTAGAAAACACTTGCTGAAGACAAGCATGGCTCGGTCTTAAATAACGCATGACTTGGTCTAACCGATTACATGAGTTCTCATTTAACTCTATATATTATAGATATCAGAAATCAACTATTATGAATATGCGGCACTCAATGCCTCTGGTGACAATTATTTAAAATGGGCTTTGGACACTGAGATTGTCCTAAAGGAAAAAGGGCTTGGTGAATCTATTGTAGAAGGAAACAATGTCACCAGAAGAGAAAGATATAAGGCGATTACTGACATACGCCATCACCTCAATGAGAGTCTCAAAATCAGTACCTCACTATTAAGAATCCTCTGGACCTCAGGACAGAGTTGAAAAAAAAAAAAAAAAAAAAAATCAATATAACCACCAAAGAACGGTGCTATTACCCAAAAGCCCAATTCGATCGGGAGAATCTCAGATTCCAGGAATTCAAATCCATGAATGAGTATAACTCAGCACTATTTAAAATAGTGTCAATACTGAGATTCCGTGGTGAGGAAGTTACTGAGAATGACTTGCTAGAGAAAGCATTCTCGACCTTTCACACAAACAATATATTGCCTCAGCAACAATATCGTGAAAAAGGTTTTTACCACATATGCAAGTCTAAACTCTTGTTTTTGGGGAGGACTCCTCTATAGAGAGTGCTAAGGAGTGAGGCTTTGGAGAAACCGTGATGAGAACATTGATTCTGATATGCTACTTGCTGAGCAAAACAATGAGTTATAAATAGTGAAATGAGACCTCCTGGTCCTACCCCATTATCAGAAGCCCGTTGGGCTAAAGAGCCTAAAGAGCCTAAAGAGCCTAAAGAGCCTAAAGAGCCTAAAGAGCCTAAAGAGTCTAACCACGTCCAAAGAGATAAGTATCATGGCCACAGTCATGGTAAATGGAATGAACGTGGTAGAAGTGGAAATTATAATTTATATGATCAAGGAAACCATTCATATGGTTAAGGCCAGCGACCCGACTTTGGTCGTAATCGAGGTAGGCCACGGTATACCCAAACCACAACACTCAAATAAACTTGTTTGCCACTGATGAGGAATGGGGAAACCATTGGACTAAGACGTGCAGGACACCTAAGCATCTCGTTGATCTCTATCAAGAGAGTTTGAAAAGAATCAAGAAGCTCATTTAGTTCATCACGATGGTGAAGAAGATTTCGACCATGAGATAGATGATTATGAGAATTTAATAAACGAAATATCTAAAGACATGGTTCATTAGCCAAATTGCGGGTATAGCTAAATTTAGTGAAGGCTAAGGGTAGGCCCATGGCAGGCCCATATTCCCAAGGGCACGCATCCTCAAATGCTTCATATTCACCCAGCTCAAAGGGGTTGTTGAGTTTCAAAGAAATGTGTTTGAATAGTTTCCACATTGAAACTAAGGGTGAAGGGAATAAAGGATTCCCATATATTACTAAGAGCACCCAAGACCATGAGAAGGTCTTAGAGACTATACCCGCGTCATAGACCTTTACTATGCCAAGGTCAATATGATAGAGGCTAATACAGTAAACAAAAGGGTTTACTGAGAAATTCACTAATGGCATGACCGGCTTGGCCAGCCTGGTTCTAACATGATGCGTAAAGCTGATATTAAAATCAAAAAGGCACACTCCTTAAGGACCTCACGTGTGTAGCATGTACACAAGGGAAACCCATACTAAGGTCATCACCAGTCAAAGCAACTAGAAACTTGGTGTTTGCTAGATTGCTGGCCCAGACCATAAGTCTGTGAGCCCACATACTTAAGACTATATGTCTAGATAATGCTGGTAAATTATATCCCAAGCGTTTTATGGCTACAGTATGTCCATGAGGGAGAGAGTAGTATACCCCGTGGCACATGTCCATACTTGAACTCATAGTAGCTGCTTGGGGACACGCAATATTACATGCAACAAGAGCTTATACGCATCAGGCCATTCTAGTGAGCATAGATATTGCCCATCCCAATTGCTAACGGGTCATGAGCCAGACGTTTCCCATCTTAAGACATTTGGGTGTTCAGTCTATGTACCCATTGCACCACCACAGAGAGCAAATGATGGGACCTCAAAAGGGGATGGGAATATACGTTAAAAATGATTCTCCCACCATCATTAAGTATCTCGAGCCAAAGGCCAGATACAAGGATTGTCATCTCAATGAATCCGTTTTCCCAACACTGGGTGGAGAGACTAACAAGCTGGTCAAAGAACTTATATGGAATCAAACATCTTTCACATGGCAAGATCCTCGGACTCCATCAGAGATCCAAAAGACTATATATCTGCAAAAGCTAGCTAAAACAATTGCCAAGATTCCTATAATGACCCAAAGAGAGTAACAAAATCGTACATACCAGCTTGTAATGCACCAGTACGTATTGATGTTCACAAGGAACACAATCAAGTTGCTACAGAGGCTACAACACGTAAGAAACGTGGTAGACCCAAAAGGTTCCAAAGACAAGAACCCTCGGAAATCAAAGAAAGGTGCAAGGGAAACCGAGAAGGTTCAAGAAACCATAGACATGGCCGGCTAGTAGACATAACCCTAAGGTACCAATCAATGAGATTTGGGACGCCAAACCTCAAGGTCCTGAAGGTGTAAAGAGATCTCTATAAACTATATCATGTCTAGAATACAATGGAACCGAAAAGATGTCGACATAAATGATAATATATTTGCGCACAAGGTAGCAACTGAAATGAATGAGGATCAGGAGCCCACGTCTATACTAGAGTGCACTCAAAGACCTGATTGATTAAAATGGTACAAGACCATAAAACGTGGAGCTAAGAATCATTAAGAAGAAGAATGTGTTTGGTCCAATACGAAGGACACCATTCAATGTAAAGCCAGTAGGACAAATGAGTCTTTGTGATTATGTGAAATAAACATAGTGAAAGCGTGATATATCAGACACGGCTTGTCGCACAAGGATTCACACAAAGACCAGAAATAGAGGAGATATACTCCCCTGTGGTGGATGCTAAAACATTTAAATTTTTGCTAAGTCTGGCTATATAAAAGAGAAAGATTTGCGGCTAATGGATGTAATGCCTGCATATTTATATAAGTCCACTGGATAATATATGAGATTACCAGAGGGTATTGAGCTCAAAGATAAGAAAGATTTTCGAGAACAGCACTGCATAAGGCTGGACAAATCCTTATATGGACTGAAACAAAGCGGACGTATGTGGTATAACCGGTTAAGCGAATATCTCATCAGAGAAGGCTATAAAAACGATCTGATCAGTCCATGTATTTTTATCAAGAAGTTTGCAAACAAAGGATTTGTAATCATAACAGTGTATATGAATGATTTAAACCTCTGGGTAATTGCCCAAACAGTTGAGTATATCTAAAGAAAGAATCTCAAATGAAAGACCTAGGCAATAATTAAGTTCTGTTTGGGATTACAACCTGAGTACGTGAATAATGGAATCCTTGTGCATCAAATGGCATACACTGAAAGAGTACTCAAGGAGATTTAATAAGGACCATGCCCGCCCATTGACCAGGCCCAATGGTGGTGAGAAGCCTCAGATTGGATAGTGATCCATTCAGTCTGGAAATGCCATACCTCAGTGCCATAGGAGTTCTAATGAATTTGGCTAGACACACTAGACCAAACATTTGTTTTGCCGTGAGTCTTCTGTCTAAATTTAGTTCATGATCAACCCAAAGGCACTGGAAAGGTTTAAAGGAAGGTTTGATTAAGTTTTAAAGTCTATTCTTCATGCGTTGTTTACTTGGGTTTATTCTATACTGATCTAACCAAAGAAGGACCAGTTTGCTTTGGTTTAGTTTGATTTACTAATGCAGGATATTCATAAGATCAGATTATGGTATGGTCAATGAATAGGAACTATGTGTGGCTTGATCCCTTCCAAGGGTACGTAGGCAGCCTTCCTTAAGGCGCATCTACTACTACATCAAAGATCATCATATTTGAAGACAACGCAGCCTGTATTGCTCAACTCAAGGATGACTACACTAAGAGAGACCAGACGAAGCACATTTTGCCAAAGCTCTTATTCACTCATGAATTACAGAAGAACGGTCAGGTCAAAGTTCAACAGATCCGGTCAAGTGAGAATTCAGCCGACCTATTCACCAAATCATTGCCGACTTCAACGTTCCGGAAGCTCATTCATCAGATCGGGATGCGCGGACTTAAGGATCTACCCTGATGCTCAAATCAGGGGGAGTAATGCGTGTTGTACTCTTTTTCCTTCACCATGGTTTTGTCCCACTGGGTTTTCCTGGTAAGGTTTTAATGAGGCAACATTCTCCAGCGCATTATAGAGATCCCGGTTTAGTATCGGGCACGGTTATGTCTTCCAAGGGGGAGTGTTATAAACCATATAGATGGACTCCATAACCGGTCCATGGCCCATTAGGGTTTTACCTTATTCTCTGTATCCTGCTATTATCCTTGTATATATATCCCATATCCTATTAATGAAAGACACAGTTTACAACACTGAGCAATATTTAAGTAATTTATGTGTAAAAGTGATGGTTAAGAGATAATATTTTTGAGTTAAGATTTTTGTGTGATTAATAGTAGGCTCTTAACATGTAGTTCTTAGAAAAAAAAAATATTAATATAAAAATAAAATTTATAATTATAGAAAATTTAATAATTGTTGCAAATTAAAAAAATTAAAACATACATGAGATACAATTTATAACATAGATGACATAAAACACAATAATTTTAAACTTGATTTCTGAGCACTATTAAATGTGAAACTGCAGTATTGATATTTGGTTATTATGATGCTCTTTCATTGATAACAACAACCTTTGAAATTGTTACTCGCCCAAAATTTAGTAAGACCATTTTCTTATACATGTATTTGTTGACATTCTGACCTCTTCACACTTCTTTGAGGTCAGTTTCCTCTTTCTCTTATTCTCTCTGTTTTAACAAAGACATAGAGAACATCAATCTCTCTTTACTCTCGTGTGCTTGTTTTAGATCTTCGATTGAACACAAAACGTTTTGTAACTAAGAGAGAAGAGATAACTCTTTTAATTGACTACATTTTTATTATTGGATCAAAAATGATCTTACAACATCACACACATAGCATTCTTATAGTAGTTAGTTACTCTTCTACTAACTACACACACTTAGACTCACTTAGACTTCTAGAGATTCGACTAAACTTACAAACAAGAGCTGGACTCTCTTACACATTCAACAACTCTAATAACTCACTTGAGAAAAGAAAGTAAGCCTTTGGTCTGTAAAAGGCAGATCCTTTACAATCATTATACGCCACTTTCCAATGTGATCATTCTCATTGATCTTATGACCCCTCTGCTTCTTGTGTTGCAAGAGTAACTTCATCCCAAAACGCAACATAGCAAACCTGCATCCACAAACCTCATTCAGTCTTCGATTCATCACCGTCTTCACTCCGTCGTCTCAATCCTCACCATATTGTTCCTTTAATTGTCAATTAGGAGTTCGAACTATGAAATCACGAAGCATTGTTTAGGAAATCATCATCATCATTGATGTTATAATCTGACCACAATTAACCTATACTTCAAACTAGATTGCAGAATATGATATTTACTAGTAATTGACATAGCCATGGATTAGTGTGACCGCTCAATTAGTGCTTGGATTGAGATTTCTTCATAAGCTATTCCCGCTACTAACAAACAAAGCTTGATTCGATCGAATAATCAAATCTCTCTCTATGCCTCTCAATCTCAATTGAAGTAATCTTCTTCGTTTCTACATCGGAGACTTGTCCGATTAAACTCCAAATGATCTCCTTCACCTTTGAAGAGAAACACGTGAGAGAGAGAGAGAGAGAGGAAGAAGATGCCATCCTTTGATTCACCGGCTGTAACAATCAACAGAGGAGACGAAGATTTGAAGATTTTGGTTCTTCGGTTTCTCAGTCGCAAGAAGAGAGAGAGAGGCAGAGAAAACGCGACGATTGATAGTGAGACACGTGTCCACCTCTTAGGTGAATAAAATGTCTCTTAGTTAAGGAACGTTTGTTAACTTTAATAGTGATTTATCATTTAATTTTTATTAGTTATCACCTAAGATTTTTGCTAAGGAACTACCGTTAATGATGGCCTTAGGCTGCCGATGATGATACGAGAGGGTGAGAGACTATTTATTTGACCATTATCAGATGGGCTTTAATTCATTTGGGCTTTCGGGTGGGCTTTACATCAATATCGTTCAGCCACCACATCCGTGGCGTTTATCAACACGTGTAATTTGGTAATTGGTCTAGAACAATAATTTAACTATCCCCTTATTATTAAAAGGGAAGTACAAATTGAAAAATAGTCTAATTTGGCCTCAATTTCAATTTCAATTTTGGATTTTGTTCATTGTTAATCAAAATCGTCAAGGGTAATTTTGTCATCAAATCTCACTAAACGATTAGAGGATCCGCGTGTTTCTAATCGGGTGGTTAGTGGATCAAATATCTCCAAATAAATAAAACGAATCACTAATCGGGTTTAACAACTTCAAAAAAAACAATTATTCGATCCTAACCATTCAACATATATAGTATCTAATTAAAGGCATATTCGAATTACATTGTAAGATATTCTCTATATCTCGCCTAATTGCTAACTAAATTTCTTAAATATATGATCTAATATAGTCCTAACCATAAACTACAATACAATATCTTTATTTCCCCTAAAATCGTGTATCATTCATTTTGATGCCAATGAGAAGATATGATAGTTAACGTATCCAATATTTTCTGCTTTCTCTACAAGATTTTCGAAAATTTTAAAGCCAAAAACCCTAACATTCTACTTCACTATAAATATCAAACGTCTTTCTTATTTCTTACTCATCCAACAATTACCTTTACTCACAGCAAACGACTCATTTTTCTTTTTTCCAATGTCTCAATCAATTGCTTTCCTTGATGATGTGAAGCTGTACAAAACGGCTTGGAGAGTTCAAGTCGGTGTCTTGCATATCTGCAATTTATAGAAGAACCATATGATTCTCCGATTGTTTTACAATGGTTAGTTAGTAACGATTTAGTTTGGTTGTGAAATTGGTTTTCAACACATTCAAGCAATGATAAGTTTTTTAATTCTTATCATGCTACTACAATTCAATCAAATATTGTTTAAAAAATCAACGATTTCATCTAAATTGCATTCCTTAACAATAAAATGGCTTTTCAAACTTTTTGTACAAAACAGAAACACCTAAGTTGATTTTTATCCCTAATCGAATGCACAAAATGTAAATGTTCATCTAAAATAATAACTGAGAAAATAACCTTATAGAGATGATGATTGATTGGTTTATGGGCACGCATTGAAATCTAACTTTTGCCAGGATTAAGACAATCGGGGTTTTCGACTCCTGTCTACCTTCAGATATCGGTCATGGTGTTTCCTACCTTCATGAGTGGCTATCCGGCTTCTCTTTGCAATAATTCACACTCAATTGAAGCCAAATATGATCTGGGTTAGATTTTAGGAAATTAGATAGAGATGAGAACTCAACAAATGAAGAACATTAATTGTATTCGTGTTTGAGTTACCAACGATCTAGATCGGCCCAGATACATGCAGAATCGATGGATTCTCTGATTGGATATACATGCTGAATCGATGGATTCTCTGATCGGATTATAGAGTTGCTCGAAGAAAATCAGAAATCAAGATGTAAGAAACGTCTTTCTGTTTTCCTTTTTTTCTCTTTTTTTTTAAGACTTATGTCACTAAACGCAATTTACCTTCTATTTTGTTTAATTTTGTCTTGATCATGTAAACTTATGATTTTATAATGTACAAAAATTCCGTTTCACAAGCATTATTATTTACAGCATATTTTCTTAATTTAATTTCTATTAACATTATCACTTATACATTATTAAAGATATAAAATGAAAACCGAATAAAACCTACATTCGCGGTGTACTGCGGGTTGAACCCTATTTTCAATATATTTTTGCAACCAATATATTTAGGGTCGTTTTAACAAAATCATATCTTCTCATTTTAGCAACTAATGTAAAAAAAAATTGGAACCCTATTTATATGATCTAGGGGATTTAAAAGTTTTCAAATTGAATGACGAATACTAAATTCGTTAAAACCATAACAAAAATAATATTTTAAATATGTTGGCTATCGAAAATATGAGCATATATTCTTCAAGCGAGTAATTAGGAATATTTCTAAAAATTGAAACAACCAAATCCGCGGTATTTTATTCTTGAATTAGGAAAAAAAAACATTAAAACATTCTACAATCAAATCACATCCTAACTACTGTTACCAAAACCAATAACCAGATCTTTGTGACTGATTGTAGGAAATAAACCAGATCTAAATTTAAATATCAAATTAAATGGGTTAAATAATCATCTTTTCCCAAATTTAAGATTTCCAACGGTTTGACCTAAAATACTTACTCCAAATAATATGTCTCCCACTCCATAGATATAGAGTAAATTGGCCTGCAAGATTATCGCACCGCACGTAAACATTCTCTTCTCTCTACTTAACAAAAATCAAAACGTTTTTTATTCAATTAACTGTAAAAAACATAAATACTTTTATAAAATTATAAATTATACATTATTCAATATATAATATGAAAACCAAATAAAATCGATATCCGCGATGTACCGCGGATTGAATAAAAAACTTAATGAATATATTAGAAATTTGATATATCTATAATCAAAAAGTTTATACGATATTAAATTTTGATACAGATATATAAACTAATACACATGTTTAACCACATTAAAACCCTTTCTCCTAATTAAAAATTTAACAACAAACAAAACAAAATATAAATTATGTATATAGAACATTATCAAATACTTAATAGAAAAACCACATAAAACCAATGCCCGCGGTGAACCGCGGGTTGAATCCTAGTACTGTATATTTTTAAAGTACATTTCTGTACCGGATGGATTAAAAATTTATCCAAGATTTTTGGTATCCGATCCGATACAAAATTTATTTCAAAATCTTACACCGGATATTCCATATTTTTATTTGGATCGGTTCAAAACATATATGAAATTGTGAACCGGATATTTCATATTTAAAAATATAAATAATTAGACGATTTGGTTACGATTTAAAATTACGATTCTCCTATCATCTTTGTTTGAACTTTTTTTTTTTTAACTATTTTCAGTCATCATATAATACATAAAGTGTAAAAAATTTCAATTATTTTTTCTGTATATATTGTGATTCAAAATTTTAAAAACGGGTATATATTACCCAATTGATGAAAAATATGTGTATTCAACGTCCCGTACTGGCTAAAAAGTTTAGACAATAATTCAGACTCATATTATTAATAAGATCGAAATATATATATATATATATATTTCTTCTTTAGTTGTTAAAACTATTAGTCAAATAATTAATTTAATGATCAGAAATTTACAAAAGGCATATAAAACAGAAGAAATTTTCTGAAATTGACCATTTTCCACTATTAATTAAAATACTGGTACCCGATAAAGGAAAATTGTAGAAATGGTACAATATTTTCTAATACCAAAACTACCCTTAACAAACCCAACGTTGCCGCAGCGTTCTAGCAGAGTTAATATAGAGGCTAAGATGAGCGAGTTAAGTAAACTACAATTATGCTTTCGCAGCATTCTAGCATAGTTTAAATAGACGCGGAGAATCACAAGTTTGGTATAGCAGTAGCATACTCTTCGCAAGCTCTAATTTAAATATCCCCAACTTCATAAAGCCCAATATAAGCCCAACAATTTGGGCCGAATATAATCAAATTATATTGGTGGAGAACGTTGAACATACATAAATAATTGGACAACGATAATCCTCATAAACTTTTCAAACGAATTTATTCTAGTTTCTGTTTGAGTCCCACAATGCTTCTTCTTATGTTTTTTCTTCTTGTCCTATTTCTTCTTATCTATCTTCTCTTTTCCATCCTCGTGATAATTCTCATCAACTTCATAAAAATTGAAACAACTATAATGTGAGAAAAATAAAAATCAGGCAAATCCAAGTACATTCATTGTTTTTAATGTTACAAAGTGTTAAAGTCAATTCTTTATTTTAGTTACAAAATAAATTACAAACTATATATATTTTTAAAGAATCTACACAATACATTCATATAATTTAACGCTCACGTTGTTAATATAAACCAAATTAAGACGAAAAAGTTACAAACGTCTACTTTTTAAAAATATGAATGCGTAAAACATGCTGAATTACATTGTTAAGGACTTCAATCAATCGTACAACTAGAAATATAAATTGTAGGAATACGTAATACTAATCTTGTGTATAGCTACTATCTTGTGTATAACTATGTATAAACTGGCGGCGCACATGCAGATAAAAACGGCGTACAAGAGAGAAAAACGGCGCATGTGAGGAACATAATTGAACAGAAAATTCGAAATTTATCCGAATGTTTTTGTGTTTCCCTCCAATTCTCACATATTCGAGAATTCTCCCATTGTCGTAATCATCGTTTCCCTTATTCTCCTTATCCTTTATTTCATTCTCCTCCACTCTTTCGACCCCTCTTCTCTCGAATTCTGTAGTTATTCTCTCGACTAAGGTTGTTTTCATGGAGGAGGAAGAACATACCACAGTGAGATGAAAAGGGCCAAGATGCTAAAGGACCGTTAAGATGCTCTAGCCAACAAAGGAGCATGACCGCAAATGCAAATATAGCGTAGATGGAAGAATAAGTAACTTCTCCAAGCATCTCTAGTGCTTCTACGGACGGTCCATCTTGAGTCAAACGGCGTAGAGATTCGATATATCTTGCTATCTCATGACCTTCAGCTACGCATCTTAAAAGGAAGGATCGATAGATAGATTCTTCTCTACCGAGTCTAGTGTTGAACATGAACTCATCAAGATCCACGTCGATTAGGACTTCACGGGAAAAGACAATTTGTTTAAAGAAAGGCTCAACTACAATGAAAGGACCTAGGTTGCGGAATCCCTGACTCCCAATACGACGGACTATGTCTGTCATAAGTGGTACTGGAATGTAGATCATTATTGAGGAGGTTTTTGCAGCCACAAGGTGGTAGAGGATTAAAAAAACTCATATAGAGTTTCCACAACTTTAACTTATATAAGTTTGAAGTATAAAAGCCCTAAATATGCACACTGTGCGCATAGCATATTAAATTATTTTATATTGTCACTAGGGATCCCTTACGGTCTCTAAAGGCACACTGTGCGCTTTCGCTCCTCATCACTTTTCTATCCTTCTTTTGTTATAAGTTGACGAACAATAAATATATAGTTGTTTACTTGTTCTAGTAAATGTCATATTAACCGTTTGGATTCTGCTGCATTGAACCGATGCATAGATCCTCTTTCTTGCTGTCCCCAGCCCCAGTTAGTCCTAGTTGACTCGGCGAATGGTCTAGATGTGGAAAAATAAGCTCTGCGAGTGATATAATAAAGCCATTTCTTTTGAGTATATGCAACGGTTATTGCATAGAGAAGAAGTCAACGTAACAAAAAAGAAATAGGTAGGACCGTCGTTGCCTCAGGCGACTTGTCGCATAATAAGTTAATAACTATAGAGTATTATAGAAATACATGAAATAAAAAGTAGCAGAGAAATGCCAAGGCTAAAGCAATTTGATCGCGGACAGAGGTAACAGAGTTCAATATATTTGATTTATACCTTTGCTGTATCTCGGCTTTTTGGAGAGCGGTATGTAATGTCATATGCGCAAATGTTCTGCCAACACAAAATTTCTACCAAACAAAGAAAGAAAGGCATTGTTTCATACTAGAAATAAGATCTAAACATACAAATGAACTCTAGTGATTACTTACTTTCCTAGTTTTTTTTTTTTTTTGTCATCCAAAATTAATTAGAGCTCAAAAGAGCCATTCCTGTGGAATGTTGTTTACAAATGTGATATGAAGCGGTTCTGTACGAATTTTTCGTGCCAGATGATCCGCTTTTACATTAGCATTGCGAGAAATTAAAGATAAAGAGAAGGATAAGAATTCTTCCTTGTCGCTCTGAAATTCCTCCAAGTACACTGAAAATGCCAGCCATTAGGTTGGAGAAGACACCATCTTAACCAGATCACTTACTTTCCTAGTTGTAAAATTGAAATTAGTGGCTAAACGTTTAATTCTGAGTGTTTTATGCGTCCATCTCCGCCATAACAATACAATAGGTTTCTAAACAATACAAATAACTAGGTTTAATAATGTTATTTAAGTTTAATAACAACAATACATTAGGTTTGTAAACATTGCAATAGCTAGATTTGTAAAATTACAAATAGTGAAAGTTCATCCTTTTGCAAACACAATAAAATGTGAATCTACACAATACACTCATATACTTTAAAGCTCACGTTGTTAATATTAACCAAATTAAGACGAAAATGTTACAACAATCTACGTTTTAAACATATGAATGCGTAAAACATTCTGAATTACATTGATAGCGATTTCAATCAATCGTACAACTAGAAATATAAATTTCCGGGGCACGTACTACTAATCTTACTGGAATACAGCAAAAGTAGAACTATGTGGAACTTGGGTATAACTACTCTCTTGTGTATAACTATGTGTAAACTGGCGGCGCACATGTGGATAAAAAACGGCGTACAAGAGGGAAAAAACGGCGCACATGAGGAACAGAATTGAACAGAAAATTCGAAATTCACCCGAATCTTTTTGGGTTTCCCATATAATC